TGCCTGGTTCGCCCATTATAGGTGCGCATACTGCCGCGACTGCCCAACGCATCACTTTGACTGGTCCACTGCATTGGATGCCCCTTTTTTTTTGCTAGTCCTCTAGATTAGACCGTTTTCCACACCCACAACAAGTGGCTCTATTTCGTTCCATGTCGTTTGCAAGATTTGAGCGACCGAACTCTGCCTGGTTCGCCCATTATAGGTGCGCATACTGCCGCGACTGCCCAACGCATCACTTTGACTGGTCCACTGCATTGGATGCCCCTTTTTTTTTGCTAGTCCTCTAGATTAGACCGTTTTCCACACCCACAACAAGTGGCTCCATTTTGTTCCATGTCGTTTGCAAGATTTGAGCGCGCGAACTCTGCCTGGTTCGCCCATAATAGGTGCGCATACTGCCCCGACTGCCCAACGCATCACTTTGACTGGTCCACTGCATTGGATGCCCGTTTTTCTTTGCTAGTCCTCTAGATTATACCGTTTTACACACCCACAACAAGTGGCTCCATTTCGTTCCATGTCGTTTGCAAGATTTGAGCGCCCGAACTCTGCCTGGTTCGCCCATTATATGTGCGCATACTGCCCCGACCGCCCAACGCATCACTTTGACTGGTCCACTGCATTGGATGCCCCTTTTTCTTTGCTAGTCCTCTAGATTAGACCGTTTTCCACACCCACAACAAGTGGCTCCATTTCGTTCCATGTCGTTTGCAAGATTTGAGCGCCCGAACTCTGCCTGGTTCGCCCAATATAGGTGCGCATACTGCCCCGACCGCCCAACGCATCACTTTGACTGGTCCACTGCATTGGATGCCCCTTTTTTTTTGCTAGTCCTCTAGATTAGACCGTTTTCCACACCCACAACAAGTGGCTCCATTTCGTTCCATGTCGTTTGCAAGATTTGAGCGCCCGAACTCTGCGTGGTACGCCCATTATAGGTGCGCATACTGCCCCGACCGCCCAACGCATCACTTTGACTGGTCCACTGCATTGGATGCCCCTTTTTTTTCACTAGTCCTCTAGATTAGACCATTTTCCACACCCACAACAAGTGGCTCCATTTTGTTCCATGTCGTTTGCAAGATTTGAGCGCCCGAACTCTGCGTGGTTCGCCCATTATAGGTGCGCATACTGCCCCGACTGCCCAACGCACCACTTTGACTGGTCGACTGCATTGGATGCCCCTTTATTTTTGCTAGTCCTCTAGATTAGACCATTTTCCACACCCACAACAAGTGGCTCCATTTTGTTCCATGTCGTTTGCAAGATTTGAGCGCCCGAACTCTGCCTGGTTCGCTCATTATAGGTGCGCATACTGCCCCGACTGCCCAACGCACCACTTTGACTGGTCCACTGCATTGGATGCCCCTTTTTTTTTGCTATTCCTCTAGATTATACGATTTTCCACACCCACAACAAGTGGCTCCATTTCGTTCCATGTCGTTTGCAAGATTTGAGCGCCCGAACTCTGCCTGGTTCGCCCATTATAGGTGCGCATACTGCCCCGACTGCCAACGCATCACTTTGACTGGTCCACTGCATTGGATGCCCCTTTCTTTTTGCTAGTCCTCTACCATTTTCCAAACCCACAACATGTGGCCCATTTCGTTCCATGTCGTGTGCAAGATTTGAGCGCCCGAACTCTGCCTGATTCGCCCATTATAGGTGCGCATACTGCCCCGACCGCCCAACGCATCACTTTGACAGGTCCACTGCATTGGATGCCCCTTTTATTTTGCTAGTCCTCTAGATTAGACCATTTTACACACCCACAACAAGTGGCTCCATTTCGTTCCATGTCGTTTGCAATATTTGAGCGCCCGAACTCTGCCTGGTTCGCCCATTATAGGTGCGCATACTGCCCCGACCGCCCAACGCATCACTTTGACTGGTCCACTGCATTGGATGCCCCTTTCTTTTTGCTAGTCCTCTATATTAGACCATTTTACACACCCACAACAAGTGGCTCCATTTCGTTCCATGTCGTTTGCAAGATTTGAGCGCCCGAACTCTGCCTGGTTCGCCCATTATAGGTGCACATACTGCCCCGACTGCCCAACGCATCACTTTGACTGGTCCACTGCATTGGATGCCCCCCATTTTTTGCTAGTCTTCTAGATTAGACCATTTTACACACCCACAACAAGTGGCTCCATTTCGTTATATGTCGTTTGCAAGATTTGAGCGCCCGAACTCTGCGTGGTACGCCCATTATAGGTGCGCATACTGCCCCGATTGCCCAACGCATCACTTTGACTGGTCCATTGCATTGGATGCCCCCATTGTTTTGCTAGTCCTCTAGATTAGACCATTTTACACACCCACAACAAGTGGCTCCATTTCGTTCCATGTCGTTTGCAAGATTTGAGCGCCCAAACTCTGCCTGGTTCGCCCATTATAGATTAGGCCTTCTACTTCAACAAGACGAGGTTATAACCTTTCCGATCCATAGAATTTGGGAGATTTCAGAGTTCCACTTCCGCCTTGTACCTTCACACAAGCGTGCATACTCACCTTACCTGCCGACGCATTTTCTCTCTGAATGATATAGTGAATACCATATGTATTCCTATTTCCTTTACATCATACCATTCCCCACCCCCCTACCATGAAAACAGGGAGAACGGAGAGGGGGCACGAAAATAGGGAGAACGGAATGGGGGCATCAAAACAGGGAGAACGGAGAGGGGGCATGAAAACAGGGAGAACGCAGAGGGAGAATGAAAACAGGGAGAACGCAGAGGGGGCATGAAAACAAGGAGAACGCAAATTGGGCATGAAAACAGGGAGAACGCAGAGGGGGCACAAAAACAGGGAGAACGGAGATGGGGCACCAAAACAGGGAGAACGGAGAGAGGGCATGAAAACAGGGAGAACGGAGAGGGGGCACGAAAACAGGGAGAACGGAGAGGGGGCATGAAAACAGGGAGAATGCAGAGGGGGCATCAAAACAAGGAGAACGCAAAGGGGGCATGGAAATAGGGAGAACGCAGAGGGGGCATGAACATAGGGAGAACGCAGAGGGGGCATGAAAACAGTGAGAACGGAGAGGGGGCATGAAAACAGGGAGAATTAAGAGGGGGGCACGAAATCAGGGAGAACAGAGAGGGGGCATGAAAACAGGGAGAACGAAGAGGGGGCACGAAAACAGGGAGAACGGAGAGGGGGCATGAAAACAGGGAGAACGGAGAGGGGGCATGAAAACAGGGAGAACGCAGAGGGGTCATGAAAACAGGGAGAACGCAGAGGGGGCATGAAAACAGGGAGAACGGAGAGGGGGCACAAAAACAGGGTGAACGGAGAGGGGGCACGAAAACAGGGTGAACGGAGAGGGGGCATGAAAACAGGGAGAACAGAGAGGAGACATGAAAACAGGGGGGCATGAAAACAGGGAGAACGCAGAGGGGGCATGAAAACAGGGAGAACGCAAAGGGGGCATGAAAACAAGGAGAACGCAAAGGGGGCATGAAACCAGGGAGAACGCAGAGGGGGCACGAAAACAAGGAGAACTGAGAGGGGGCATAAAAACAGGGAGAACGGAGAGGGGGCATGAAAACAGGGAGAACGGAGAGGGGGCACGAAAACAGGGAGAACAGAGAGGGGTCATGAAATCAGGGAGAACGGAGAGGGGGCACGAAAACAGGGAGAACGGAGAGGGGGCATGAAAATAGGGAGAATGGAGAGGGGGCATGAAAACAGGGGGGCATGAAAACAGGGAGAACGCAGAGGGGGCATGAAAACAAGGAGAACGCAAAGGGGGCATGAAAACAGGGAGAACGGAGAGGGGGCATGAAATCAGGGAGAACGGAGAGGGGGCAAGAAAACAAGGAGGACGGAGAGGGGGCATGAAAACAGGGAGAACGGAGAGGGGGCATGAAAACAAGGAGAACGGAGAGGGGGCATAAAAACAGGGAGAACGGAGAGGGGGCATGAAAACAGGGGGGCATGATAACAGGGAGAACGCAGAGAGGGCATGAAAACAGGGAGAACGCAGAGGGGGCATGAAAACAGGGAGAACGGAGAGGGGGCATAAAAACAGGGAGAACGGAGAGGGGGCATGAAAACAGGGGGGCATGATAACAGGGAGAACGCAGAGAGGGCATGAAAACAGGGAGAACGCAGAGGGGGCATGAAAACAGGGAGAACGGAGAGGGGGCATGAAAACAGGGAGAACGCAGAGGGGGCACGAAAACAGGGAGAACGGAGAGGGGGCACGAAAACAGGGCGAACGGAGAGGGGGCATGAAAACAGGGAGAACGGAGAGGGGGCATAAAAACAGGGAGAACGGAGAGGGGGCATGAAAACAGGGGGGCATGATAACAGGGAGAACGCAGAGAGGGCATGAAAACAGGGAGAACGCAGAGGGGGCATGAAAACAGGGAGAACGGAGAGGGGGCATGAAAACAGGGAGAACGCAGAGGGGGCATGCAAACAGGGAGAACGGAGAGGGGGCATGAAAACAGGGAGAACGGAGAGGGGGCACGAAAACAGGGAGAACAGAGAGGGGGCATGAAATCAGGAAGAACGGAGAGGGGGCACGAAAACAGGGAGAATAGAGAGAGGGCATGAAAACAGGGAGAACGGAGAGAGGGCACGAAAACAGGGAGAACGGAGAGGGGGCATGAAAACAGGGAGAACGGAGAGGGGGCATGAAAACAGGGGGGCATGAAAACAGGGAGAACGCAGAGGGGGCATGAAAACAGGGAGAACTGAGAGGGGGCACGAAAACACGGAGAACAGAGAGGGGGCATGAAATCAGGGAGAACAAAGAGGGGGCACGAAAACAGGGAGAACGGAGAGGGGGCATGAAAACAGGGAGAATGGAGAGGGGGCATGAAAACAGGGGGGCATGAAAACAGGGAGAACGCAGAGGGGGCATGAAAACAAGGAGAACGCAAAGGGGGCATGAAAACAGGGAGAACGGAGAGGGGGCATGAAATCAGGGAGAACGGAGATGGGCCACGAAAACAGGGAGAACGGAGAGGGGGCATGAAAACAGGGAGAACGGAGAGAGGGCACGAAAACAGGGAGAACAGAGAGGGGGCATGAAATCAGGGAGAACGGAGAGGGGGCACGAAAACAGGGAGAACAGAGAGAGGGCATGAAAACAAGGAGAACGCAGAGGGGGCATGAAAACAGGGAGAACGCAGAGGGGGCATGAAAACAGGGAGAACGCAGAGAGGGGGCATGAAAACAGGGAGAACGGAGAGGGGGCATGAAAACAGTGAGAACGGAAAGGGGGCACGAAAACAGGGAGAACAGAGAGGGGGCATGAAATCAGGGAGAACAGAGAGGGGGCACGAAAAAAGGGAGAACGGAGAGGGGGCATGAAAACAGGGAGAACGGAGAGGGGCCACGAAAATAGGGAGAACGGAGAGGGGGCACGAAAACAGGGCGAACGGAGAGGGGGCATGAAAACAGGGAGAACGGAGAGGGGGCATGAAAACAGGGCAAACGGAGAGGGGGCATGAAAACAGGGAGAACGGAGAGGGGGCACGAAAAGAGGGAGAACGGAGAGGGGGCACGAAAAGAGGGAGAACGGAGAGGGGGCATAAAAACAGGGAGAACGGAGAGGGGGCATGAAAACAGGGGGGCATGATAACAGGGAGAACGCAGAGGGGGCATGAAAACAGGGAGAATGCAGAGGGGGCATGAAAACAGGGAGAACGCAGAGGGGGCACGAAAACAGGGAGAACAGAGAGAGGGCATGAAAACAAGGAGAACGCAGAGGGGGCATGAAAACAGGGAGAACGCAAAGGGGGCATGAAAACAGGGAGAACGCAGAGAGGGGGCATGAAAACAGGGAGAACGGAGAGGGGGCATGAAAACAAGGAGAACGGAGAGGGGCCACGAAAACAGGGAGAACGGAGAGGGGGCACGAAAACAGGGCGAACGGAGAGGGGGCATGAAAACAGGGAGAACGGAGAGGGGGCATGAAAACAGGGCAAACGGAGAGGGGGCATGAAAACAGGGAGAACGGAGAGGGGGCACGAAAAGAGGGAGAACGGAGAGGGGGCACGAAAAGAGGGAGAACGGAGAGGGGGCATAAAAACAGGGAGAACGGAGAGGGGGCATGAAAACAGGGGGGCATGATAACAGGGAGAACGCAGAGGGGGCATGAAAACAGGGAGAATGCAGAGGGGGCATGAAAACAGGGAGAACGCAGAGGGGGCACGAAAACAGGGAGAACAGAGAGAGGGCATGAAAACAAGGAGAACGCAGAGGGGGCATGAAAACAGGGAGAACGCAAAGGGGGCATGAAAACAGGGAGAACGCAGAGAGGGGGCATGAAAACAGGGAGAACAGAGAGGGGGCATGAAATCAGGGAGAACAGAGAGGGGGCACGAAAAAAGGGAGAACGGAGAGGGGGCATGAAAACAGGGAGAATGCAGAGGGGGCATGAAAACAAGGAGAACGCAAAGGGGGCATGGAAATCGGGAGAACGCAGAGGGGGCATAAACACAGGGAGAACGCAGAGGGGGCATGAAAACAGTGATAACGGAGAGGGGGCATGAAAACAGGGAGAACTAAGAGGGGGGCACGAAAACAGGGAGAACAGAGAGGGGGCATGAAAACAGGGAGAACGAAGAGGGGGCATGAAAACAGGGAGAACGGAGAGGGGGCATGAAAACAGGGAGAACGCAGAGGGGGCATGAAAACAGGGAGAACGCAGAGGGGGCATGAAAACAGGGAGAACGGAGAGGGGGCACGAAAACAGGGTGAACGGAGAGGGGGCACGAAAACAGGGTGAACGGAGAGGGGGCATGAAAACAGGGAGAACAGAGAGGAGGCATGAAAACAGGGGGGCATGAAAACAGGGAGAACGCAGAGGGGGCATGAAAACAGTGAGAACGGAAAGGGGGCACGAAAACAGGGAGAACAGAGAGGGGGCATGAAATCAGGGAGAACAGAGAGGGGGCACGAAAACAGGGAGAATGGAGAGGGGGCATGAAAACAGGGAGAATGTAGAGGGGGCATGAAAACAAGGAGAACGCAAAGGGGGCATGGAAATAGGGAGAACGCAGAGGGGGCATGAACACAGGGAGAACGCAGAGGGGGCATGAAAACAGTGAGAACGGAGAGGGGGCATGAAAACAGTGAGAACTAAGAGGGGGGCACGAAAACAGGGAGAACAGTGAGGGGGCATGAAAACAGGGAGAACGGAGAGGGGGCATGAAAACAGGGAGAACGCAGAGGGGGCATGAAAACAGGGAGAACGCAGAGGGGGCATGAAAACAGGGAGAACGGAGAGGGGGCACGAAAACAGGGTGAACGGAGAGGGGGCACGAAAACAGGGTGAACGGAGAGGGGGCATGAAAACAGGGAGAACAGAGAGGAGGCATGAAAACAGGGGGGCATGAAAACAGGGAGAACGCAGAGGGGGCATGAAAACAGTGAGAACGGAAAGGGGGCACGAAAACAGGGAGAACAGAGAGGGGGCATGAAATCAGGGAGAACAGAGAGGGGGCACGAAAACAGGGAGAATGGAGAGGGGGCATGAAAACAGGGAGAATGTAGAGGGGGCATGAAAACAAGGAGAACGCAAAGGGGGCATGGAAATAGGGAGAACGCAGAGGGGGCATGAACACAGGGAGAACGCAGAGGGGGCATGAAAACAGTGAGAACGGAGAGGGGGCATGAAAACAGTGAGAACTAAGAGGGGGGCACGAAAACAGGGAGAACAGTGAGGGGGCATGAAAACAGGGAGAACGAAGAGGGGGCACGAAAATAGGGAGAACGGAGAGGGGGCATGAAAACAGGGAGAACGGAGAGGGGGCATGAAAACAGGGAGAACGCAGAGGGGGCATGAAAACAGGGAGAACGCAGAGGGGGCATGAAAACAGGGAGAACGGAGAGGGGGCACGAAAACAGGGTGAACGGAGAGGGGGCACGAAAACAGGGTGAACGGAGAGGGGGCATGAAAACAGGGAGAACAGAGAGGAGGCATGAAAACAGGGAGAACGCAGAGGGGGCATGAAAACAGGGAGAACGCAAAGGGGGCATGAAAACAAGGAGAACGCAAAGGGGGCATGAAACCAGGGAGAACGCAGAGGGGGCACGAAAACAAGGAGAACTGAGAGGGGGCATAAAAACAGGGAGAACGGAGAGGGGGCATGAAAACAGGGAGAACGGAGAGGGGGCACGAAAACAGGGAGAACAGAGAGGGGTCATGAAATCAGGGAGAACGGAGAGGGGGCACGAAAACAGGGAGAACGGAGAGGGGGCATGAAAATAGGGAGAATGAAGAGGAGGCATGAAAACAGGGGGGCATGAAAACAGGGAGAACGCAGAGGGGGCATGAAAACAAGGAGAACGCAAAGGGGGCATGAAAACAGGGAGAACGGAGAGGGGGCAAGAAAACAAGGAGAACGGAGAGGGGGCATGAAAACAGGGAGAACGGAGAGGGGGCATGAAAACAGGGAGAACGGAGAGGGGGCATGAAAACAGGGAGAACGGAGAGGGGGCATGAAAACAAGGAGATCGGAGAGGGGACACGAAAACAGGGAGAACGGAGAGGGGGCATGAAAACAGGGCAAACGGAGAGGGGGCATGAAAACAGGGAGAACGGAGAGGGGGCACAAAAACAGGGAGAACGGAGAGGGGGCATAAAAACAGGGAGAACGGAGAGGGGGCATGAAAACAGGGGGGCATGATAACAGGGAGAACGCAGAGAGGGCATGAAAACAGGGAGAACGCAGAGGGGGCATGAAAACAGGGAGAACGGAGAGGGGGCATGAAAACAGGGAGAACGGAGAGGGGGCATGAAAACAGGGAGAACGGAGAGGGGGCATGAAAACAAGGAGAACGGAGAGGGGGCATGAAAACAGGGAGAACGGAGAGGGGGCACGAAAACAGGGAGAACAGAGAGGGGTCATGAAATCAGGGAGAACGGAGAGGGGGCACGAAAACAGGGAGAACGGAGAGGGGGCATGAAAATAGGGAGAATGAAGAGGGGGCATGAAAACAGGGGGGCATGAAAACAGGGAGAACGCAGAGGGGGCATGAAAACAAGGAGAACGCAAAGGGGGCATGAAAACAGGGAGAACGGAGAGGGGGCATGAAATCAGGGAGAACGGAGAGGGGGAAAGAAAACAAGGAGAACGGAGAGGGGGCATGAAAACAGGGAGAACGGAGAGGGGGCATGAAAACAGGGAGAACGGAGAGGGGGCATGAAAACAAGGAGATCGGAGAGGGGACACGAAAACAGGGAGAACGGAGAGGGGGCATGAAAACAGGGCAAACGGAGAGGGGGCATGAAAACAGGGAGAACGGAGAGGGGGCACAAAAACAGGGAGAACGGAGAGGGGGCATAAAAACAGGGAGAACGGAGAGGGGGCATGAAAACAGGGGGGCATGATAACAGGGAGAACGCAGAGAGGGCATGAAAACAGGGAGAACGCAGAGGGGGCATGAAAACAGGGAGAACGGAGAGGGGGCATGAAAACAGGGAGAACGGAGAGGGGGCATGAAAACAGGGAGAACGGAGAGGGGGCATGAAAACAGTGAGAACGGAGAGGGGGCACGAAAACAGGGAGAACAGAGAGGGGGCATGAAATCAGGAAGAACGGAGAGGGGGCACGAAAACAGGGAGAACAGAGAGAGGGCATGAAAACAGGGAGAACGGAGAGGGGGCACGAAAACAGGGAGAACGGAGAGGGGGCATGCAAACAGGGAGAACGGAGAGGGGGCATGAAAACAGGGAGAACGGAGAGAGGGCATGAAATCAGGAAGAACGGAGAAGGGGCACGAAAACAGGGAGAACAGAGAGAGGGCATGAAAACAGGGAGAACGGAGAGGGGGCACGAAAACAGGGAGAACGGAGAGGGGGCATGAAAACAGGGAGAACGGAGAGGGGGTATGAAAACAGGGAGAACAGAGAGGGGGCATGCAAACAGGGAGAACGCAGAGGGGGCACGAAAACAGGGAGAACGGAGAGGGGGCTTGCAAACAGGGAGAACGGAGAGGGGGCATGAAAACAGGGAGAACGGAGAGGGGGCACGAAAACAGGGAGAACGGAGAGGGGGCACGAAAATAGGGAGAACGGAATGGGGGCATCAAAACAGGGAGAACGGAGAGGGGGCATGAAAACAGGGAGAACGCAGAGGGAGAATGAAAACAGGGAGAACGCAGAGGGGGCATGAAAACAAGGAGAACGCAAATTGGGCATGAAAACAGGGAGAACGCAGAGGGGGCACAAAAACAGGGAGAACGGAGATGGGGCACGAAAACAGGGAGAACCGAGAGAGGGCATGAAAACAGGGAGAACGGAGAGGGGGCACGAAAACAGGGAGAACGGAGAGGGGGCATGAAAACAGGGAGAATGCAGAGGGGGCATGAAAACAAGGAGAACGCAAAGGGGGCATGGAAATAGGGAGAACACAGAGGGGGCATGAACACAGGGAGAACGCAGAGGGGGCATGAAAACAGTGAGAACGGAGAGGGGGCATGAAAACAGGGAGAATTAAGAGGGGGGCACGAAAACAGGGAGAACAGAGAGGGGGCATGAAAACAGGGAGAACGAAGAGGGGGCACGAAAACAGGGAGAACGGAGAGGGGGCATGAAAACAGGGAGAACGGAGAGGGGGCATGAAAACAGGGAGAACGCAGAGGGGTCATGAAAACAGGGAGAACGCAGAGGGGGCATGAAAACAGGGAGAACGGAGAGGGGGCACAAAAACAGGGTGAACGGAGAGGGGGCACGAAAACAGGGTGAACGGAGAGGGGGCATGAAAACAGGGAGAACAGAGAGGAGACATGAAAACAGGGGGGCATGAAAACAGGGAGAACGCAGAGGGGGCATGAAAACAGGGAGAACGCAAAGGGGGCATGAAAACAAGGAGAACGCAAAGGGGGCATGAAACCAGGGAGAACGCAGAGGGGGCACGAAAACAAGGAGAACTGAGAGGGGGCATAAAAACAGGGAGAACGGAGAGGGGGCATGAAAACAGGGAGAACGGAGAGGGGGCACGAAAACAGGGAGAACAGAGAGGGGTCATGAAATCAGGGAGAACGGAGAGGGGGCACGAAAACAGGGAGAACGGAGAGGGGGCATGAAAATAGGGAGAATGGAGAGGGGGCATGAAAACAGGGGGGCATGAAAACAGGGAGAACGCAGAGGGGGCATGAAAACAGGGAGAACGGAGAGGGGGCATGAAATCAGGGAGAACGGAGAGGGGGCAAGAAAACAAGGAGGACGGAGAGGGGGCATGAAAACAGGGAGAACGGAGAGGGGGCATGAAAACAGGGAGAACGGAGAGGGGGCATAAAAACAGGGAGAACGGAGAGGGGGCATGAAAACAGGGGGGCATGATAACAGGGAGAACGCAGAGAGGGCATGAAAACAGGGAGAACGCAGAGGGGGCATGAAAACAGGGAGAACGGAGAGGGGGCATAAAAACAGGGAGAACGGAGAGGGGGCATGAAAACAGGGGGGCATGATAACAGGGAGAACGCAGAGAGGGCATGAAAACAGGGAGAACGCAGATGGGGCATGAAAACAGGGAGAACGGAGAGGGGGCATGAAAACAGGGAGAACGCAGAGGGGGCACGAAAACAGGGAGAACGGAGAGGGGGCACGAAAACAGGGCGAACGGAGAGGGGGCATGAAAACAGGGAGAACGGAGAGGGGGCATAAAAACAGGGAGAACGGAGAGGGGGCATGAAAACAGGGGGGCATGATAACAGGGAGAACGCAGAGAGGGCATGAAAACAGGGAGAACGCAGAGGGGGCATGAAAACAGGGAGAACGGAGAGGGGGCATGAAAACAGGGAGAACGCAGAGGGGGCACGAAAACAGGGAGAACGGAGAGGGGGCATGAAATCAGGAAGAACGGAGAGGGGGCACGAAAACAGGGAGAATAGAGAGAGGGCATGAAAACAGGGAGAACGGAGAGGGGGCACGAAAACAGGGAGAACGGAGAGGGGGCATGAAAACAGGGAGAACGGAGAGGGGGCATGAAAACAGGGGGGCATGAAAACAGGGAGAACGCAGAGGGGGCATGAAAACAGGGAGAACTGAGAGGGGGCACGAAAACACGGAGAACAGAGAGGGGGCATGAAATCAGGGAGAACAAAGAGGGGGCACGAAAACAGGGAGAACGGAGAGGGGGCATGAAAACAGGGAGAATGGAGAGGGGGCATGAAAACAGGGGGGCATGAAAACAGGGAGAACGCAGAGGGGGCATGAAAACAAGGAGAACGCAAAGGGGGCATGAAAACAGGGAGAACGGAGAGGGGGCATGAAATCAGGGAGAACGGAGATGGGCCACGAAAACAGGGAGAACGGAGAGGGGGCATGAAAACAGGGAGAACGGAGAGAGGGCACGAAAACAGGGAGAACAGAGAGGGGGCATGAAATCAGGGAGAACGGAGAGGGGGCACGTAAACAGGGAGAACAGAGAGAGGGCATGAAAACAAGGAGAACGCAGAGGGGGCATGAAAACAGGGAGAACGCAGAGGGGGCATGAAAACAGGGAGAACGCAGAGAGGGGGCATGAAAACAGGGAGAATGGAGAGGGGGCATGAAAACAGTGAGAACGGAAAGGGGGCACGAAAACAGGGAGAACAGAGAGGGGGCATGAAATCAGGGAGAACAGAGAGGGGGCACGAAAAAAGGGAGAACGGAGAGGGGGCATGAAAACAGGGAGAACGGAGAGGGGCCACGAAAATAGGGAGAACGGAGAGGGGGCATGAAAACAAGGAGAACGGAGAGGGGGCATGAAAACAAGGAGAACGGAGAGGGGCCACGAAAACAGGGAGAACGGAGAGGGGGCACGAAAACAGGGCGAACGGAGAGGGGGCATGAAAACAGGGAGAACGGAGAGGGGGCATGAAAACAGGGCAAACGGAGAGGGGGCATGAAAACAGGGAGAACGGAGAGGGGGCACGAAAAGAGGGAGAACGGAGAGGGGGCATAAAAACAGGGAGAACGGAGAGGGGGCATGAAAACAGGGGGGCATGATAACAGGGAGAACGCAGAGGGGGCATGAAAACAGGGAGAATGCAGAGGGGGCATGAAAACAGGGAGAACGCAGAGGGGGCACGAAAACAGGGAGAACAGAGAGAGGGCATGAAAACAAGGAGAACGCAGAGGGGGCATGAAAACAGGGAGAACGCAAAGGGGGCATGAAAACAGGGAGAACGCAGAGAGGGGGCATGAAAACAGGGAGAACGGAGAGGGGCCACGAAAATAGGGAGAACGGAGAGGGGGCATGAAAACAAGGAGAACGGAGAGGGGGCATGAAAACAAGGAGAACGGAGAGGGGCCACGAAAACAGGGAGAACGGAGAGGGGGCACGAAAACAGGGCGAACGGAGAGGGGGCATGAAAACAGGGAGAACGGAGAGGGGGCATGAAAACAGGGCAAACGGAGAGGGGGCATGAAAACAGGGAGAACGGAGAGGGGGCACGAAAAGAGGGAGAACGGAGAGGGGGCATAAAAACAGGGAGAACGGAGAGGGGGCATGAAAACAGGGGGGCATGATAACAGGGAGAACGCAGAGGGGGCATGAAAACAGGGAGAATGCAGAGGGGGCATGAAAACAGGGAGAACGCAGAGGGGGCACGAAAACAGGGAGAACAGAGAGAGGGCATGAAAACAAGGAGAACGCAGAGGGGGCATGAAAACAGGGAGAACGCAAAGGGGGCATGAAAACAGGGAGAACGCAGAGAGGGGGCATGAAAACAGGGAGAACAGAGAGGGGGCATGAAATCAGGGAGAACAGAGAGGGGGCACGAAAAAAGGGAGAACGGAGAGGGGGCATGAAAACAGGGAGAATGCAGAGGGGGCATGAAAACAAGGAGAACGCAAAGGGGGCATGGAAATAGGGAGAACGCAGAGGGGGCATAAACACAGGGAGAACGCAGAGGGGGCATGAAAACAGTGATAACGGAGAGGGGGCATGAAAACAGGGAGAACTAAGAGGGGGGCACGAAAACAGGGAGAACAGAGAGGGGGCATGAAAACAGGGAGAACGAAGAGGGGGCATGAAAACAGGGAGAACGGAGAGGGGGCATGAAAACAGGGAGAACGCAGAGGGGGCATGAAAACAGGGAGAACGCAGAGGGGGCATGAAAACAGGGAGAACGGAGAGGGGGCACGAAAACAGGGTGAACGGAGAGGGGGCACGAAAACAGGGTGAACGGAGAGGGGGCATGAAAACAGGGAGAACAGAGAGGAGGCATGAAAACAGGGGGGCATGAAAACAGGGAGAACGCAGAGGGGGCATGAAAACAGTGAGAACGGAAAGGGGGCACGAAAACAGGGAGAACAGAGAGGGGGCATGAAATCAGGGAGAACAGAGAGGGGGCACGAAAACAGGGAGAATGGAGAGGGGGCATGAAAACAGGGAGAATGTAGAGGGGGCATGAAAACAAGGAGAACGCAAAGGGGGCATGGAAATAGGGAGAACGCAGAGGGGGCATGAACACAGGGAGAACGCAGAGGGGGCATGAAAACAGTGAGAACGGAGAGGGGGCATGAAAACAGTGAGAACTAAGAGGGGGGCACGAAAACAGGGAGAACAGTGAGGGGGCATGAAAACAGGGAGAACGGAGAGGGGGCATGAAAACAGGGAGAACGCAGAGGGGGCATGAAAACAGGGAGAACGCAGAGGGGGCATGAAAACAGGGAGAACGGAGAGGGGGCACGAAAACAGGGTGAACGGAGAGGGGGCACGAAAACAGGGTGAACGGAGAGGGGGCATGAAAACAGGGAGAACAGAGAGGAGGCATGAAAACAGGGGGGCATGAAAACAGGGAGAACGCAGAGGGGGCATGAAAACAGTGAGAACGGAAAGGGGGCACGAAAACAGGGAGAACAGAGAGGGGGCATGAAATCAGGGAGAACAGAGAGGGGGCACGAAAACAGGGAGAATGGAGAGGGGGCATGAAAACAGGGAGAATGTAGAGGGGGCATGAAAACAAGGAGAACGCAAAGGGGGCATGGAAATAGGGAGAACGCAGAGGGGGCATGAACACAGGGAGAACGCAGAGGGGGCATGAAAACAGTGAGAACGGAGAGGGGGCATGAAAACAGTGAGAACTAAGAGGGGGGCACGAAAACAGGGAGAACAGTGAGGGGGCATGAAAACAGGGAGAACGAAGAGGGGGCACGAAAATAGGGAGAACGGAGAGGGGGCATGAAAACAGGGAGAACGGAGAGGGGGCATGAAAACAGGGAGAACGCAGAGGGGGCATGAAAACAGGGAGAACGCAGAGGGGGCATGAAAACAGGGAGAACGGAGAGGGGGCACGAAAACAGGGTGAACGGAGAGGGGGCACGAAAACAGGGTGAACGGAGAGGGGGCATGAAAACAGGGAGAACAGAGAGGAGGCATGAAAACAGGGAGAACGCAGAGGGGGCATGAAAACAGGGAGAACGCAAAGGGGGCATGAAAACAAGGAGAACGCAAAGGGGGCATGAAACCAGGGAGAACGCAGAGGGGGCACGAAAACAAGGAGAACTGAGAGGGGGCATAAAAACAGGGAGAACGGAGAGGGGGCATGAAAACAGGGAGAACGGAGAGGGGGCACGAAAACAGGGAGAACAGAGAGGGGTCATGAAATCAGGGAGAACGGAGAGGGGGCACGAAAACAGGGAGAACGGAGAGGGGGCATGAAAATAGGGAGAATGAAGAGGGGGCATGAAAACAGGGGGGCATGAAAACAGGGAGAACGCAGAGGGGGCATGAAAACAAGGAGAACGCAAAGGGGGCATGAAAACAGGGAGAACGGAGAGGGGGCAAGAAAACAAGGAGAACGGAGAGGGGGCATGAAAACAGGGAGAACGGAGAGGGGGCATGAAAACAGGGAGAACGGAGAGGGGGCATGAAAACAAGGAGATCGGAGAGGGGGCATGAAAACAGGGAGAACGGAGAGGGGGCATGAAAACAGGGAGAACGGAGAGGGGGCATGAAAACAAGGAGATCGGAGAGGGGACACGAAAACAGGGAGAACGGAGAGGGGGCATGAAAACAGGGCAAACGGAGAGGGGGCATGAAAACAGGGAGAACGGAGAGGGGGCACAAAAACAGGGAGAACGGAGAGGGGGCATAAAAACAGGGAGAACGGAGAGGGGGCATGAAAACAGGGGGGCATGATAACAGGGAGAACGCAGAGAGGGCATGAAAACAGGGAGAACGCAGAGGGGGCATGAAAACAGGGAGAACGGAGAGGGGGCATGAAAACAGGGAGAACGGAGAGGGGGCATGAAAACAGGGAGAACGGAGAGGGGGCATGAAAACAGTGAGAACGGAGAGGGGGCACGAAAACAGGGAGAACAGAGAGGGGGCATGAAATCAGGAAGAACGGAGAGGGGGCACGAAAACAGGGAGAACAGAGAGAGGGCATGAAAACAGGGAGAACGGAGAGGGGGCACGAAAACAGGGAGAACGGAGAGGGGGCATGAAAACAGGGAGAACGGAGAGGGGGTATGAAAACAGGGAGAACAGAGAGGGGGCATGAAATCAGGAAGAACGGAGAGGGGGCATGAAAACAGGGAGAACAGAGAGAGGGCATGAAAACAGGGAGAACGGAGAGGGGGCATGAAAACAGGGAGAACGCAGAGGGGGCACGAAAACAGGGAGAATGGAGAGGGGGCATGCAAACAGGGAGAACGGAGAGGGGGCACGAAAACAGGGAGAACAGAGAGGGGGCATGAAATCAGGAAGAACGGAGAGGGGGCACGACAACAGGGAGAACAGAGAGAGGGCATGAAAACAGGGAGAACGGAGAGGGGGCACGAAAACAGGGAGAACGGAGAGGGGGCATGAAAACAGGGAGAACGGAGAGGGGGTATGAAAACAGGGGGGCATGAAAATAGGGAGAACGCAGAGGGGGCATGAAAACAGGGAGAACGCAGAGGGGGCATGAAAACAGGGAGAACGGAGAGGGGGCACGAAAACAGGGTGAACGGAGAGGGGGCATGAAAACAGGGAGAACGGAGAGGAGGCATGAAAACAGGGGGGCATGAAAACAGGGAGAACGCAGAGGGGGCATGAAAACAGGGAGAACGCAAAGGGGGCATGAAAACAAGGAGAACACAAAGGGGGCATGAAAACAGGGAGAAAGCAGAGGGGGCACGAAAACAAGGAGAACTGAGAGGGGGCATAAAAACAGGGAGAATGGAGAGGGGGCATGAACACAGGGAGAACGGAGAGGGGGCACGAAAACACGGAGAACAGAGAGGGGGCATGAAATCAGGGAGAACGAAGAGGGGGCACGAAAACAGGGAGAACGGAGAGGGGGCATGAAAACAGGGAGAATGGAGAGGGGGCATGAAAACAGGGGGGCATGAAAACAGGGAGAACGCAGAGGGGGCATGAAAACAAGGAGAACGCAAAGGGGGCATGAAAACAGGGAGAATGGAGAGGGGGCATGAAATCAGGGAGAACGGAGATGGGGCATGAAAACAAGGAGAACGGAGAGGGGGCATGAAAATAGGGAGAACGGAGAGGGGGCATGAAAACAAGGAGAACGGAGAGGGGGCATGAAAACAAGGAGAACGGAGAGGGGCCACGAAAACAGGGAGAACGGAGAGGGGGCACGAAAACAGGGCGAACGGAGAGGGGGCATGAAAACAGGGAGAACGGAGAGGGGGCATGAAAACAGGGCAAACGGAGAGGGGGCATGAAAACAGGGAGAACGGAGAGGGGGCACGAAAACAGGGAGAACGGAGAGGGGGCATAAAAACAGGGAGAACGGAGAGGGGGCATGAAAACAGGGGGGCATGATAACAGGGAGAACGCAGAGGGGGCATGAAAACAGGGAGAATGCAGAGGGGGCATGAAAACAGGGAGAATGGAGAGGGGGCATGAAAACAGGGAGAACGCAGAAAAGGCACGAAAACAGGGAGAACGGAGAGGGGGCATGAAAACAGGGAGAACAGAGAGGGGGCATGAAAACAGGGAGAACGGAGAGAGGGCACGAAAACAGGGAGAACAGAGAGGGGGCATGAAATCAGGGAGAACGGAGAGGGGGCACGAAAACAGGGAGAACAGAGAGAGGACATGAAAACAGGGAGAACGGAGAGGGGGCATGAAAACAGGGAGAACGGAAAGGGGGCATGAAAACAGGGAGAACGCAGAGGGGGCATGAAAACATGGAGAACGCAATGGGGGCATGGAAATAGGGAGAACGCAGAGGGGGCATGAACACAGGGAGAACGCAGAGGGGGCATGAAAACAGGGAGAACGGAGAGGGGGCATGAAAACAGGGAGAATGGAGAGGGGGGCACGAAAACAGGGAGAACAGAGAGGGGGCAGGAAAACCGGGAGAACGGAGAGGGGGCACGAAAACAAGGAGAACGGAGAGGGGGCATGAAAACAGGGGGGCATGAAAACAGGGAGAACGGAGAGGGGGCATGAAAACAGGGAGAACGGAGAGGGGGCATGAAAACAGGGCAAACGGAGAGGGGGCATGAAAATGTTGGTGCAACCCTACGGTTTGCACTCGGCTTGTTGTCCGTGTGCGTGAATGTGTGTGTGTATGGAATGGTATGAGGGCATGGGATAATATATATTTCATGCTTATAATTGTGTGTGAATGTTGAGTCATGATGTCGAGTGTGTGTGTCGAGTCAATAGCGAGTTATCGCTAGACGCGTGTTACGCGGTCGTTTGTGTCTCGCGCGCGGTTTCTATTTTGTCCTGTGTCGAACGTTCGGCGTGTCGCAGGTGTGTGCAGCAGACCCATCAAGAACTCAAGGATGAGTTTGTGATGAAGAGCCCGAGCCTTGGTGTCAAGCCTCAAGTGATTTCGAAGCTCGCCAAAAAGGGTACACCTCAAGATATTGAAGATAGTTACATTACTTTGTGTAGTGTAACATTTCACTTGGTGTAGGCCCTAGTGAAGGGTAGTTTCGAGACCCTTCGTGGTTGGGGACAGTGTGGCACTGTTTCACATCACTGTACCTCGGCTCTTGGGGTTTGTAGGAGCTGGGAGTCATTCCCAACTCGTAACTCTTCCTATCTTGTGTTCTAAGACTATAGTGGCTGCCATAGTACCGTTCGTTCAAACCGAAGCTGTGTCGTCAATTCTTTATCAAATCGTGAAATCTAAATTGCTAATTGTAGACGACGTGAAGACGCTCCAGATCCAATTTGAATCAAGTCATTTGCACCTGTGAGCAGAACGCTATCAACGTTTGAAGCCGCTGTGCAGAAATCCGTCTGTGCTCTCTATCTTTCGTTTTAGGCACATTCAAGCCTATTGTGACTATAACAAGTGGTATCAGAGCCCCTTGGAGCAGTTTCGACAATTTCTGGACCTGAGGAAAGGGGTGGCAGAGGTGCTGGTGGCAGTGGAGAAGCTCAAGCTCAAGGCCAACCCCGTGATTCAGCCATGGCGCCCATGCAACCAAGTCTTGGCCCACCTAGGGATGAGCCTAGGGTGTTTGGGCTTGACAAGTTCAACGGTGACAACTTTGCTGAATGGACCTTCAAGATGGAGAACATCTTTGACCACTATGACCTGCGGGAGGTGATGGAAGGAACGGAGAAGCGCCCCGAGAACGACCCGGAGAAGAGCCCGTGGGTGCGGAAGAGCGCACAAGGCTATCTCTTACTTGGGCAAGCGTTGGGGAGCAGTCAGATCCGTCACATCAAGCCATTCCAGCGTGAACCAGAGAAAGGACCAAAGGCATGGGCTGCTCTCAAGGGTGTACATGCTCCTGCAACAGCGGCGGTAGCGGTGGTGTTGGAACGGCAAATGGCGGCACTACGAATTGAAGAAGACGAAGCGGTTGAAGAAGGGGTGCAGAAATTCTTCGACTTGTTGACGCGGCTTGAGGGAGCTGATTTGAACTACAGTGAGCTCCAAAAGAAGACCAAGTTGCTGGCCTTACTCCCAGAGTCATGGTCCTCGCTCATCATCAACCTTAATCGCGACTTGCCCCGCCTCTCGCTTGAAGACGTGAAGCGAGCTATCCTTCAAGAGGATTTCCGCCGCCGTGAGTTGGCGAGTGCGGATGGCGCTGGGGCAGCAAGCATCGGCCGTGGATATGGTCGAGGAAGAGGCAGAGGACGAGGGGGAGGAAGGTTTGGTGGCAGCAACTTCGGCGGAGGCCGCAGGAGTGGCGGTTACGGCAGCGACGACAAGAGCTACGGACGCGGTCGCGGCCGATTCGACAGCGAGTGTCACTATTGCCACAAGAGCGGACACATGTGGCGCGACTGCTACAAACTCCCTGATGGTTGGACCCCTGCTCAAGGCCAAGAGGGTAGAGGAGCAGGAGGAGGGAGAGGACGAGGCCGTGGAGGCCGTGGCGGTCGCGGTGGCGGAGCTGCAAACATGAAGAGCGGAGACAACGACAAGGACCCGAGCGACGATCGATACCCGGGTCTATTCTACTTCGTGTCGACGCAAGTACCGGCTGGTCCAGAGAAGGATGAAGGCTTTGAGGAGCCAGCAGCTGTGGGGAAGGTGACCCTACACCCCCTGGACTATTGGGTGATTGATAGTGGCGCTACCTATAGCATGACACCTCGCCCGGACTTGCTCACCGAACTCGAGCCGTCACCGGTGAAGCATGTCACATCGGCTTTGGGGCAGCGAGCAGAGGTGAAAGGCATGGGCAAGGCCATGTTCAAGGGTGCTGATGGGAAGATGGTGGGCCTCAAGAACGTGCTTTGGGTGCCCAGCCTTGCTGCAAACCTGATTTCCGTGCGGCGGTTGGCAAAGGCCGGCATGGACACGAACTCGAAGGGAGCCAAGACCTACACCGCAAGGCTTGGCGATCGAATTCTTTGGGACCTTCATGAGGACAGGGATGTCTACAACGAGATGTGGCAGATCCCAGTGGTCCCTATGCCTAAGGAGAGGCAAGTGGCAGCAAGCATCAGCACGAAGGATGGAGCGGTCGGTAGCGACGATGGCGCGAACGGTCGCGCTAAGGAGAATGAGCTCAAGCAGAGCAAACCTGGAGGGACCAGCAAGTTTAGTGAACCTAAGGAGAGTGGTGCAGCAACCAAGGAGCAGCAAAAGGGTGAGGAGAACCCAGAGGCAGCAGCGGAGGAGGACTACGGAGAGAGTATGTGGGGCGCTATTGCGAGCGCGGCATTCTCCAATCCAACTTCGGCTACGGGGGAGTGTGATTGGCTCACCTTGCATCGGCGCATGGGGCATGTGGCCCTGCCCATCTTGCAGCAGCTAGTGAAGAATGAGATGGTTGCTGGCATACGTGTGAAGGGGGAGCCCGATGAGGTGCTTGGCTGCCCGACGTGCATTCAAGCCAAGTTCACCCGGTTTCCGTTCCCTAGTTCGGAGGCAACGGCAAAGGCACCGCTTGATGAGGTGGTGATGGACGTGGTGGGCCCCCTGAAGCTTGGAGCTGCTGGAGCTGAGTATTTTCTCACCATTGTCGACGTCTACACCCGCATGACTTGGGTGTACGTGCTGGCCAAGAAGAGCGACGTGGCTGAAACGTTGAAGACGGATTGTTTTCCGATGGTGGAGCGGCAACAAGACCGTCTAGTCAAGTCAATCCGCACCGATCGAGGGGGAGAGTTCCTGAGCAAGGAGTTTGGGTTGTGGCTGAAGAAGAATGGTATTCGGCACTCCCTCACCATGCCATACTCCCCTGCAATGAACGGCATCGCCGAGCGAGCGAACCGCACAATCACGGAGGCGGCACGCGGGTTGCTCATTGAAGCCGGGCTACCCGACTATTTCTGGCCTGATGCGGTGCGGAGCGCGTGTGTGGCCAAGAACAGAGCCTTGACTCATGTGGGAGCAGACAAATGGGTGCCCTATGTGGAGTGGCTAGGAAGGAAGCCAAAGGTGGATATGCTTCGGGTGTTCGGGTGCATGTGCATGGCGCTCGTGCCTAAGCATCTTCGGCACAACAAGCTTGGTGCCAAGGCGGTGTGGGCCGTGCACTTGGGCATGGCTCAAAACAGCAAGGGATGGCTTCTTTGGGACCCATTCACCAAGAAGTTCTTGGTGAGCAGGGACTGCAAGTTCATGGAGAACTTCATGTACAAGGATTGGAAGGCGGAGAATGAGGCGAAGATAGGCGTGCGGTTTGGGGAGGTGAAGAGTTCCGGTTTGGAGCATGTGGAGCTGCCTTTGGAGCTGAGCAGCGGCAGCACAACCACAAGGCAATCCTCCCTTGTGAATGGGGGAGAGGAGGCCAATGATGCAGAGGAAGAAGAGGAGGAGGTGCAGCAAGTGAGCGAGCGTGCACCGTCACTCCCTTCCCGTACTACGAGTGCTCCACGGATTCGAGCCACACCGCAGCAACGCCAAGGCCTTCAAGTCCCTGCAGCTGAGGAGGAAGGAAGGGGGAAGAGGAGAGTTCAACCCCCTAATAGGCTGACCTATGATGCGCCGGGAAAGCAGGGCAAGACAGCCCTGGCCGGAGCGGCAATGATGGTCGGAGACGACGAGGAGAGTGACTACGAGGAGTGTGCCTTCGCGTTCTTCTCTCCGGTGGAGATGCCGGGAGAACCAGCAACTCTCAAGGAGGCTTTGGAGAGTAGTGATGCTGAGGAGTGGAAGAAGACCATGGAGAGTGAGCTGAAGAGCATCGAGGAGAATGACACGTTTGAATTGGTGGAGCTACCGGAGGGGCGTACGGCGATAACGTCCAAGTGGCTCTTCAAAATCAAGTCGGATGCCGACGGCAAGATCGAGCGCTACAAGTCTAGGCTTGTAGCCAAGGGGTACCAGCAGAAGGAGAAGGTGGACTTCAAGGAGCTGTTTGCCCCTGTGGTGAAACCGACGACGCTGCGAACCCTATTCGCGGGAGCCGCCATCAAAGGATGGGTAGTAAAGCAAATGGACATCGTAACGGCATTCCTTAACGGCATCCTTGAGGAGGAGATTTTTATGGCGCAGCCAGAGGGGTTTGATGATGGTAGTGGCAGAGTGTGGAAGCTGAAGAAGGCCCTCTATGGGCTGAAGCAGGCCCCTAGGCAATGGTACATGAAGCTGCGCGAAGTGTTAGAGGGGATCGGCTTCACTCCCTCAACGGCCGATCACTCCTTGTTCATGCTTGGCGAGGGGGAGCAGAGGAGTTTCATGGTGGTTTATGTGGATGACATCCTCATTTTCTCACCCTCTTCTGACCTTGTGAAGGAGGTGATGCTGAAGCTTCAAGACAAGTTCAAGTGCAAGGCCCTTGGTGACGTGAGCTTCTACCTTGGGCTCCACATCGAACGAGATGTGGAGAAGCGGTGCATGCGGGTGCATCAACGAAAGTACCTGGAGGCATTGGCTGCCAACTTTGGGCAGAGTGAAGGCCATGTGGCTACACCCTTTCCCTCTGGGTTCAAGTGTGTGAAGGGACCAGAGGAGGAGAGCGTTGGTGAAGAGGAGAGGCGCCGATTTCACTCGTTGGTGGGCAGCCTCATGTATGCGGCGGTAAACACCCGACCGGACGTCGCGTTTGCTACCGGGCAGCTGGCTAGGGTTGTGCAATGCCCTAATGAGGAGCAGGTAGCAGCTGGAATGAGGGTGGCCAAGTATCTTGGCCAAACACCGACCGTTGGGCTGCAATACTCGGCGGCGGCACAAAGGCGCCAAAAGGGCGCGGATGGTGTTGAACCCAGGCGTTTGTTCCTCACCGCCTACTCGGATGCTTCATATGCATCAGAACCAGAGGACATGACAAGTGTGGGAGGCTTCATATGCTGTGTTGGTGGAGGCCCAACTGCTTGGGAGAGCAAGAAGCAGGTTGACCAAGCTTTGAGCTCGGTGGAGTCCGAGTACATGGCACTCTTCCGTGCCGTACGGGAGATTGTGTGGCAGCGGCGTTTGTTGGCTGAATTGGGGGAGGAGCAGCAAGGACCTACCCCACTGTACTGTGACAGCCAGGGTGCCATTGCTCTTGCTAAGAACCCTGTGTTGCATGGACTCACGAAGCACATGAGGGTGAAGTGGCATTGGACGAGGAGCATGGTAACCGCGGGTGAAGTTGAGTTGCGCTACGTGAAGACCACGGGGCAGCCGGCTGACATGATGACCAAGAGGCTGGTGGAGCAGTAGCATTGGAAGTGTTGCAAGCTGGCTGGGATGGCTCTGAACTGAGAGAGCAACATATCCTAAGGCCAACAATCCGAGGGGGAGTTTGTTGGTGCAACCCTACGGTTTGCACTCGGCTTGTTGTCCGTGTGCGTGAATGTGTGTGTGTGTATGGAATGGTATGAGGGCATGGGATAATATATATTTCATGCTTATAATTGTGTGTGAATGTTGAGTCATGATGTCGAGTGTGTGTGTCGAGTCAATAGCGAGTTATCGCTAGACGCGTGTTACGCGGTCGTTTGTGTCTCGCGCGCGGTTTCTATTTTGTCGTGCGCGGTTTCTATTTTGTCCTGTGTCGAACGTTCGGCGTGTCGCAGGTGTGTGCAGCAGACCCATCAAGAACTCAAGGATGAGTTTGTGATGAAGAGCCCGAGCCTTGGTGTCAAGCCTCAAGTGATTTCGAAGCTCGCCAAAAAGGGTACACCTCAAGATATTGAAGATAGTTACATTACTTTGTGTAGTGTAACATTTCACTTGGTGTAGGCCCTAGTGAAGGGTAGTTTCGAGACCCTTCGTGGTTGGGGACAGTGTGGCACTGTTCCACGTCACTGTACCTCGGCTCTTGGGGTTTGTAGGAGCTGGGAGTCATTCCCAACTCGTAACTCTTCCTATCTTGTGTTCTAAGACTATAGTGGCTGCCATAGTACCGTTCGTTCAAACCGACGTTGTGTCGTCAATTCTTTATCAAATCGCGCAATCTAAATTGCTAATTGTAGACGACGTGAAGACGCTCCAGATCCAATTTGAATCAAGTCATTTGCAGCTGTGAGCAGAACGCTATCAACGTTTGAAGCTGCTGTGCAGAAATCCGTCTGTGCTCTCTATCTTTCGTTTTAGGCACATTCAAGCCTATTGTGACTATAACAGAAAACAGGGAGAACGGAGAGGGGGCACAAAAACAGGGAGAACGGAGAGGGGGCAAAAAAACAGGGAGAACGGAGAGGGGGCATGAAAACAGGGGGGCATGAAAACAGGGAGAACGCAGAGGGGGCATGAACACAGGGAGAACGCAGAGGGGGCATGAAAACAGGGAGAACGGAGAGGGGGCATGAAAACAGGGAGAACGGAGAGGAGGCATGAATTCAGGGGGGCATGAAAACAGGGAGAACGCGGAGGGGGCATGAAAACAGGGAGAACGCAAGGGGGGCATGAAAACAAGGAGAACGCAAAGGGGGCATGAAAACAGGGAGAACGCAGAGGGGGCACGAAAACAAGGAGAACGGACAGGGGGCATGAAAACAGGGAGAACGGAGAGGGGGCATGAAAACAGGGAGAACGGAGAGGGGGCACGAAAACAGGGAGAACAGAGAGGGGTCATGAAATCAGTGAGAACGGAGAGGGGGAACGAAAACAGGGAGAACGGAGAGGGGGCATGAAAACAGGGAGAATAGAGAGGGGGCATGAAAGCAGGGGGGCATGAAAACAGGGGGAACGCAGAGGGGGCATGAAAACAAGGAGAACGCAAAGGGGGCATGAAAACAGGGAGAACGGAGAGGGGGCATGAAATCAGGGAGAACGGAGAGGGGGCATGAAAACAAGGAGAACGGAGAGGAGGCACGAAAACAGGGAGAACGGAGAGGGGGCACGAAAACAGGGCGAACGGAGAGGGGGCATGAAAACAGGGAGAATGGAGAGGGGGCATGAAAACAGGGCAAACGGAGAGGGGGCATGAAAACAGGGAGAACGGAGAGGGGGCACGAAAACAGGGGGGCATGAAAACAGGGAGAACGCAGAGGGGGCATGAAAACAGGGAGAACAGAAGGAGGGCATGAAAACAGGGAGAACGGAGAGGGGGCACGAAAACAGGGAGAACAGAGAGGGGGCATGAAATCAGGGAGAACGGAGAGGGGGCACGAAAACAGGGAGAACAGAAGGAGGGCATGAAAACAGGGAGAACGGAGAGGGGGCACGAAAAGAGGGAGAACGGAGAGGGGGCATGAAAACAGGGAGAACGCAGAGGGGGCATGAAAACAGGGAGAATGCAGAGGGGGCATGAAAATATGGAGAACGCAATGGGGGCATGGAAATAGGGAGAATGCAGAGGGGGCATGAACACAGGGAGAACGCAGAGGGGGCATGAAAACAGGGAGAACGCAGAGGGGGCATGAAAACAGGGAGAACGGAGAGGGGGCATGAAAACAATGAGAACGGAAAGGGGGCACGAAAACAGGGAGAACAGAGAGGGGGCATGAAATCAGGGAGAACAGAGAGGGGGCACGAAAACAGGGAGAACGGAGAGGGGGCATGAAAACAGGGAGAATGGAGAGGGGGCATGAAAACAGGGGGGCATGAAAACAGGGAGAACGCAGAGGGGGCATGAAAACAAGGAGAACGCAAAGGGGGCATGAAAACAGGGAGAACGGAAAGGGGGCAAGAAATCAGGGAGAACGGAGAGGGGGCATGAAAACAGGGAGAACGGAGAGGGGGCATGAAAACAGGGAGAACAGAAGGAGGGCATGAAAACAGGGAGAACGGAGAGGGGGCACGAAAACAGGGAGAACAGAGAGGGGGCATGAAATCAGGGAGAACGGAGAGGGGGCACGAAAACAGGGAGAACAGAAGGAGGGCATGAAAACAGGGAGAACGGAGAGGGGGCACGAAAAGAGGGAGAACGGAGAGGGGGCATGAAAACAGGGAGAACGCAGAGGGGGCATGAAAACAGGGAGAATGCAGAGGGGGCATGAAAATATGGAGAACGCAATGGGGGCATGGAAATAGGGAGAATGCAGAGGGGGCATGAACACAGGGAGAACGCAGAGGGGGCATGAAACAGGGAGAACGGAGAGGGGGCATGAAAACAGGGATAACGGAGAGGGGGGCACGAAAACAGGGAGAACAGATAGGGGGCATGAAAAAAAGGAGAACGGAGAGGGGGCACGAAAACAAGGAGAACGGAGAGGGGGCGTGAAAACAGGGAGAACGGAGAGGAGGCATGAAAACAGGGAGAACGCAGAGGGGGCATGAACACAGGGAGAACGCAGAGGGGGCAAGAAAACAGGGAGAACGGAGAGGGGGCATGAAAACAGGGAGAACGGAGAGGGGGGCACGAAAACAGGGAGAACAGAGAGGGGGCATGAAAACAGGGAGAACGGAGAGGGGGCACAAAAACAGGGAGAACAGAGAGGGGGCATGAAAACAGGGAGAACGGAGAGGGGGCATGAAAACAGGGGGGCATGAAAACAGGGAGAACGAAGAGGGGGCATGACAACAGGGAGAACGCAGAGGGGGCATGAAAACAGGGAGAACGGAGAGGGGGCACGAAAACAGGGTGAACGGAGAGGGGGCATGAAAACAGGGAGAACGGAGAGGAGGCATGAAAACAGGGGGGCATGAAAACAGGGAGAACGCGGAGGGGGCATGAAAACAGGGAGAACGCAAGGGGGGCATGTAATCAAGGAGAACGCAAAGGGGGCATGAAAACAGGGAGAACGCAGAGGGGGCACGAAAACAAGGAGAACGGAGAGGGGGCATGAAAACAGAGAGAACGGAGAGGGGGCATGAAAACAGGGAGAACGGAGAGGGGGCACGAAAACAGGGAGAACAGAGAGGGGGCATGAAATCAGGGAGAACGGAGAGGGGGCACGAAAACAGGGAGAACGGAGAGGGGGCATGAAAACAGGGAGAACGGAGAGGGGGCACGAAAACAGGGGGGCATGAAAACAGGGAGAACGCAGAGGGGGCATGAAAACAGGGAGAACGCAGAGGGGGCATGAAAACAGGGAGAACGGAGAGGGGGCATGAAAACAGTGAGAACGGAAAGGGGGCACGAAAACAGGGAGAACACAGAGGGGGCACGAAAACAGGGAGAACGGAGAGGGGGCATGAACACAAGGAGAATGGAGAGGGGGCATGAAAACAGGGGGGCATGAAAACAGGGAGAACGCAGAGGGGGCATGAAAACAAGGAGAACGTAAAGGGGGCATGAAAACAGGGAGAACGGAGAGGGGGCATGAAATCAGGGAGAACGGAGAGGGGGCATGAAAACAGGGAGAACGGAGAGGGGGCACGAAAACAGGGGGGCATGAAAACAGGGAGAACGCAGAGGGGGCATGAAAACAGGGAGAACGCAGAGGGGGCATGAAAACAGGGAGAACGGAGAGGGGGCATGAAAACAGTGAGAACGGAAAGGGGGCACGAAAACAGGGAGAACAGAGAGGGGGCATGAAATCAGGGAGAACACAGAGGGGGCACGAAAACAGGGAGAACGGAGAGGGGGCATGAACACAAGGAGAATGGAGAGGGGGCATGAAAACAGGGGGGCATGAAAACAGGGAGAACGCAGAGGGGGCATGAAAACAAGGAGAACGTAAAGGGGGCATGAAAACAGGGAGAACGGAGAGGGGGCATGAAAACAGGGAGAACGGAGAGGGGGCAAGAAAACAGAGAGATTGGAGAGGGGGCACGAAAACAGGGAGAACGGAGAGGGGGCACGAAAACAGGGAGAACAGAGAGGGGGCACGAAATCAGGGAGAACGGAGAGGGGGCACGAAAACAGGGAGAACAGAGAGAGGGCACGAAAACAGGGAGAACGGAGAGGGGGCACGAAAACAGGGAGAGCGGAGAGGGGGCACGAAAACAGGGAGAACGGAGAGGGGGCATGAAAACAGGGAGAACGCAGAGGGGGCATGAAAACAGGGGGGCATGAAAACAAGGAGAACGCAGAGGGGGCATGAAAACAGGGAGAACGCAGAGGGGGCATGAAAACAGGGAGAACGGAGAGGGGGCACGAAAACAGGGTGAACGGAGAGGGGGCATGAAAACAGGGAGAACGGAGAGGAGGCATGAAAACAGGGGGGCATGAAAACAGGGAGAACCCAGAGGGGGCATGAAAACAGGGAGAACGCAAAGGGGGCATGAAAACAGGGAGAAAGCAGAGGGGGCACGAAAACAAGAAGAACTGAGAGGGGGCATAAAAACAGGGAGAACGGAGAGGGGGCATGAACACAGGGAGAACGGAGAGGGGGCACGAAAACAGGGAGAACGGAGAGGGGGCATGAAAACAGGGGGGCATGAAAACAGGGAGAACGCAGAGGGGGCATGAAAACAAGGAGAACGCAAAGGGGGCATGAAAACAGGGAGAACGGAGAGGGGGCATGAAATCAGGGAGAACGGAGATGGGGCATGAAAACAAGGAGAACGGAGAGGGGGCACAAAAACAAGGAGAACGGAGAGGGGCGACCAAAACAGGGAGAACGGAGAGGGGGCACGAAAACAGGGCGAACGGAGAGGGGGCATGAAAACAGGGGGGCATGAAAACAGGGAGAACGCAGAGGGGGCATGAAAACAAGGAGAACGCAAAGGGGGCATGAAAACAGGGAGAACGGAGAGGGGGCATGAAAATAGGGAGAACGGAGAGGGGGCATGAAAACAAGGAGAACGGAGAGGGGGCATGAAAACAAGGAGAACGGAGAGGGGCGACCAAAACAGGGAGAACGGAGAGGGGGCACGAAAACAGGGCGAACGGAGAGGGGGCATGAAAACAGGGAGAACGGAGAGGGGGCATGAAAACAGGGAGAACGGAGAGGGGGCATAAAAACAGGGAGAACGGAGAGGGGGCATGAAAACAGGGGGGCATGCTAACAGGGAGAACGCAGAGGGGGCATGAAAACAGGGAGAATGCAGAGGGGACATGAAAACAGGGAGAATGGAGAGGGGGCATGAAAACAGGGAGAACGCAGAAGGGGCACGAAAACAGGGAGAACGGAGAGGGGGCATGAAAACAGGGAGAACAGAGAGGGGGCATGAAAACAGGGAGAACGGAGAGAGGGCATGAAAACAGGGAGAACAGAGAGGGGGCATGAAATCAGGGAGAACGGAGAGGGGGCACGAAAAGAGGGAGAACAGAGAGAGGGCATGAAAACAGGGAGAACGGAGAGGGGGCATGAAAACAGGGAGAACGCAGAGGGGGCATGAAAACAGGGAGAACGCAGAGGGGGCCTGAAAACATGGAGAACGCAATGGGGGCATGGAAATAGGGAGAACGCAGAGGGGGCATGAACACAGGGAGAACGCAGAGGGGGCATGAAAACAGGGAGAACGGAGAGGGGGCATGAAAACAGGGAGAACGGAGAGGGGGGCACGAAAACAGGGAGAACAGAGAGGGGGCAGGAAAACCGGGAGAACGGAGAGGGGGAACGAAAACAAGGAGAACGGAGAGGGGGCATGAAAACAGTGGGGCATGAAAACAGGGAGAACGCAGAGGGGGCATGAACACAGGGAGAACGCAGAGGGGGCATGAAAACAGGGAGAACGGAGAGGGGGCATGGAAACAGGGAGAACGGAGAGGGGGGCACGAAAACAGAGAGAACAGAGAGGGGGCATGAAAACAGGGAGAACGGAGAGGGGTCACAAAAACAGGGAGAACGGAGAGGGGGCATGAAAACAGGGAGAACGCAGAGGGGGCATGAAAACAGGGAGAACGGAGAGGGGGCACGAAAACAGGGTGAATGGAGAGGGGGCATGAAAACAGGGGGGCATGAAAATAGGGAGAACGCGGAGGGGGCATGAAAACAGGGAGAACGCAAGGGGGGCATGAAAACAAGGAGAACGCAAAGGGGGCATGAAAACAGGGAGAACGCAGAGGGGGCACGAAAACAAGGAGAACGGACAGGGGGCATGAAAACAGGGAGAACGGAGAGGGGGCACGAAAACAGGGAGAACGGAGAGGAGGCATGAAAACAGGGGGGCATGAAAATAGGGAGAACGCGGAGGGGGCATGAAAACAGGGAGAACGCAAGGGGGGCATGAAAACAAGGAGAACGCAAAGGGGGCATGAAAACAGGGAGAACGCAGAGGGGGCACGAAAACAAGGAGAACGGACAGGGGGCATGAAAACAGGGAGAACGGAGAGGGGGCATGAAAACAGGGAGAACGGAGAGGGGGCACGAAAACAGGGAGAACAGAGAGGGGTCATGAAATCAGGGAGAACGGAGAGGGGGCACGAAAACAGGGAGAACGGAGAGAGGGCATGAAAACAGGGAGAATAGAGAGGGGGCATGAAAGCAGGGGGGCATGAAAACAGGGGGAACGCAGAGGGGGCATGAAAACAAGGAGAATGCAAAGGGGGCATGAAAACAGGGAGAACGGAGAGGGGGCATGAAATCAGGGAGAACGGAGAGTGGGCATGAAAACAAGGAGAACGGAGAGGGGGCACGAAAACAGGGAGAACGGAGAGGGGGCACGAAAACAGGGCGAACGGAGAGGGGGCATGAAAACAGGGAGAACGGAGAGGGGGCATGAAAACAGGGGGGCATGAAAACAGGGAGAACGCAGAGGGGGCATGAAAACAGGGAGAACGCAGAGGGGGCATGAAAACAGGGAGAACGGAGAGGGGGCATGAAAACAGTGAGAACGGAAAGGGGGCACGAAAACAGGGAGAACAGAGAGGGGGCATGAAATCAGGGAGAACAGAGAGGGGGCACGAAAACAGGGAGAACGGAGAGGGGGCATGAAAACAAGGAGAATGGAGAGGGGGCATGAAAACAGGGGGGCATGAAAACAGGGAGAACGCAGAGGGGGCATGAAAACAAGGAGAACGCAAAGGGGGCATGAAAACAGGGAGAACGGAGAGGGGGCAAGAAATCAGGGAGAACGGAGAGGGGGCACGAAAACAGGGAGAACGCAGAGGGGGCATGAAAACAGGGAGAATGCAGAGGGGGCATGAAAATATGGAGAACGCAATGGGGGCATGGAAATAGGGAGAATGCAGAGGGGGCATGAACACAGAGAGAACGCAGAGGGGGCATGAAACAGGGAGAACGGAGAGGGGGCATGAAAACAGGGAGAACGGAGAGGGGGCACGAAAACAGGGAGAACGCAGAGGGGGCATGAAAACAGGGAGAATGCAGAGGGGGCATGAAAATATGGAGAACGCAATGGGGGCATGGAAATAGGGAGAATGCAGAGGGGGCATGAACACAGGGAGAACGCAGAGGGGGCATGAAACAGGGAGAACGGAGAGGGGGCATGAAAACAGGGAGAACGGAGAGGGGGCACGAAAACAGGGAGAACGCAGAGGGGGCATGAAAACAGGGAGAATGCAGAGGGGGCATGAAAATATGGAGAACGCAATGGGGGCATGGAAATAGGGAGAATGCAGAGGGGGCATGAACACAGGGAGAACGCAGAGGGGGCATGAAAACAGGGAGAACGGAGAGGGGGGCACGAAAACAGGGAGAACAGAGAGGGGGCATGAAAAAAAGGAGAACGGAGAGGGGGCACGAAAACAAGGAGAACCGAGAGGGGGCGTGAAAACAGGGAGAACGGAGAGGGGGCATGAAAACAGGGAGAACGCAGAGGGGGCATGAACACAGGGAGAACACAGAGGGGGCATGAAAACAGGGAGAACGGAGAGGGGGCATGAAAACAGGGAGAATGGAGAGGGGGGCACGAAAACAGGGAGAACAGAGAGGGGGCATGAAAACAGGGAGAACGGAGAGGGGGCACAAAAACAGGGAGAACGGAGATGGGGCATGAAAACAGGGAGAACGGAGAGGGGGCATGAAAACAGGGGGGCATGAAAACAGGGAGAACGAAGAGGGGGCATGACAACAGGGAGAACGCAGAGGGGGCATGAAAACAGGGAGAACGGAGAGGGGGCACGAAAACAGGGTGAATGGAGAGGGGGCATGAAAACAGGGAGAACGGAGAGGAGGCATGAAAACAGGGGGGCATGAAAACAGGGAGAACGCGGAGGGGGCATGAAAACAGGGAGAACGCAAGGGGGGCATGTAATCAAGGAGAACGCAAAGGGGGCATGAAAACAGGGAGAACGCAGAGGGGGCACGAAAACAAGGAGAACGGAGAGGGGGCATGAAAACAGGGAGAACGGAGAGGGGGTACGAAAATAGGGAGAACAGAGAGAGGGCATGAAAACAGGGAGAACGGAGAGGGGGCACGAAAACAGGGAGATCGGAGAGGGGGCATGAAAACAGGGAGAACGCAGAGGGGGCATGAAAACAGGGAGAATGCAGAGGGGGCATGAAAACAAGGAGAACGCAATGGGGGCATGGAAATAGGGAGATCGCAGAGGGGGCATGAACACAGGGAGAACGCAGAGGGGGCATGAAAACAGGGAGAACGGAGAGGGGGCATGAAAACAGGGAGAACGGAGAGGGGGGCACGAAAACAGGGAGAACAGAGAGGGGGCATGAATACAGGGAGAACGGAGAGGGGGCACGAAAACAGGGAGAACGGAGAGGGGGCACGAAAACAGGGAGAATGGAGAGGGGGCATGAAAACAGGGGGGCATGAAAACAGGGAGAACGCAGAGGGGGCATGAAAACAAGGAGAACGCAGAGGGGGCATGAAAACAAGGAGAACGCAGAGGGGGCATGAAAACAGGGAGAACGGAGAGGGGCCATGAAAACAGGGAGAACGGAGAGGGGCCATGAAAACAGGGAGAACGGAGAGGGGGCATGAAAACAAGGAGAACGGAGAGGGGGCACGAAAACAGGGAGAACGGATAGGGGGCATGCAAACAGGGAGAACGGAGAGGGGCCATGAAAATAGGGAGAACGCCAGGGGGCCATGAAAATAGGGAGAATGCAGGGGGGGGCATGAAAACAGGGAGAACGGAGAAGGAACATGGAAACAGGGAGAACGCAGAGGGGCCATGAAAACTGGGAGAACACAGAGGGGCCATGAAAACAGCGATAACACAGGGGGGGGCATGAAAACAGGGAGAACGGAGAGGGGGCACGAAAACAGGGAGATCGGAGAGGGGGCATGAAAACAGGGAGAACGGAGACGGGGCATGAAAACAGGGAGAACGGAGAGGGGGCATGAAAACAAGGAGAACGGAGAGGGGGCACGAAAACAGGGAGAACGGAGAGGGGGCCAAAAACAGGGCGAACGGAGAGGGGGCATGAAAACAGGGAGAACGGAGAGGGGGCATGAAAACAGGGGGGCATGAAAACAGGGAGAACGGAGAGGGGGCATGAAAACAGGGAGAACGCAGAGGGGGCATGAAAACAGGGAGAACGCAGAGGGGGCACGAAAACAGGGAGAACGTAGAGGGGGCACGAATACAGGGAGAAGGAGAGGGGGCATGAAAACAGAGAGAACGGAGAGGGGGCATGAAAATAGGGAGAACGGAGAGGGGGCATGAAATCAGGGAGAACGGAGAGGGGGCATGAAAACAGGGAGAACGCAGGGGGACCATGAAAACAGGGAGAACGCAGGGGGGCCATTAAAACAGGGAGAACGGAGAGGGGCCATGAAAACAAGGAGAACGCAGAGGGGCCATGAAAACAGGGAGAACGCTGAGTGGCCATGGAAACAGCGAGAACGTAGGGGGGGCATGAAAACAGGGAGATTGCAGAGGGGGGCATGAAAACAGGGAGAACGCAGAGGGGGCATGAAAACAGGGAGAACGGAGAGGGGGCATGAAAACAGGGAGAACAGACAGGGGGCAAGAAAACAGAGAGAATGGAGAGGGGGCATGAAAACAGGGAGAACGGTGTGTAAAATGGTCTAACCTAGAGGACTAGAAAAAAATAGGGGCATTTTAACGAAGTGGACCAGTCAAAGTGATGCGTTGGGCAGTCGGGGCAGTATGCGCACCTATAATGGGCGAACCACGCAGAGTTCGGGCGCTCAAATCTTGCAAACGACATGGAACGAAATGGAGCCACTTGTTGTTGGTGTGGAAAATGGTATAATCTAGAGTACTAGTGAAAAAAATGGGGCATCCAATGCAGTGGACCAGTCAAAGTGATGCGTTGGGCAGTCAGGGCAGTATGCGCACCTATAATGGGCGAACCAGGCAGAGTTCGGGCGCTCAAATCTTGCAAACGACATGGAACGAAATAGAGCCACTTGTTGTGGGTGTGGAAAATGGTATAATCTAGAGGACTAGTGAAAAAAATGGGGCATCCAATGCAGTGGACCAGTCAAAGTGATGCGTTGGGCAGTCGGGGCAGTATGCGCACCTATAATGGGCGAACCAGGCAGAGTTCGGGCGCTCAAATCTTGCAAACGACATGGAACGAAATGGAGCCACTTGTTGTGGGTGTGGAAAATGGTATAATCTAGAGGAATAGTGAAAAAAATGGGGCATCCAATGCAGTGGACCAGTCAAAGTGATGCGTTGGGCAGTCGGGGCAGTATGCCCACCTATAATGGGCGAACCAGGCAGAGTTCGGGCGCTCAAATCTTGCAAACGACATGGAACGAAATGGAGCCACTTGTTGTGGGTGTGGAAAATGGTATATTCTAGAGGACTAGTGAAAAAAATGGGGCATCCAATGCAGTGGACCAGTCAAAGTGATATGTTGGGCAGTCGGGGCAGTATGCGCACCTATAATGGGCGTACCACGGAGAGTTCGGGCGCTCAAATCTTGCAAACGACATGGAACGAAATGGAGCCACCTGCTGTGGGTGTGTAAAATGGTCTAACCTAGAGGACGAGCAAAAAAAAAATAGGGGCATCCAATGCAGTGGACCAGTCAAAGTGATGCGTTGGGCAGTCGGGGCAGTATGCGCACCTATAATGGGCGAACTAGGCAGAGTTCGGGCTCTCAAATCTTGCAAACGACATGGAACGAAATGGAGCCACTTGTTGTGGGTGTGGAAAATGGTATAATCTAGAGGACTAGCGAAAAAATGGGGCATCCAACGCAGTGGACCAGTCAAAGTGATGCGTTGGGCAGTCGGGGCAGTATGCGCACCTATAATGGGCGAACCAGGCAGAGTTCGGGCGCTTAAATCTTGCAAACGACATGGAACGAAATGGAGCCACTTTTTGTGGGTGTGGAAAATGGTATAATCTAGAGGACTAGTGAAAAAAATGGGGCATCCAATGCAGTGGACCAGTCAAAGTGATGCGTTGGGCAGTCAGGGCAGTATGCGCACCTATAATGGGCGAACCAGGCAGAGTTCGGGCGCTCAAATCTTGCAAACGACACGGAACGAAATGGAGCCACGTGTTGTGGGTGTGGAAAATGGTATAATCTAGAGGACTAGCAAAAAAAAAGGGGCATCCAATGCAGTGGACCAGTCAAAGTGATGCGTTGGGCAGTCGGGGCAGTATGCGCACCTATAATGGGCGAACCAGGCAGAGTTCGGGCGCTCAAATCTTGCAAACGACATGGAACGAAATGGAGCCACTTGTTGTGGGTGTGGAAAATGGTATAATCTAGAGGACTAGTGAAAAAAATGGGGCATCCAATGCAGTGGACCAGTCAAAGTGATGCGTTGGGCAGTCGGGGCAGTATGCGCACCTATAATGGGTGAATCAGACAGAGTTCGGGCGCTCAAATCTTGCCAACGACATGGAACAAAATGGAGCCATTTGTTGTGGGTGTGGAAAATGGTATAATCTAGAAGACTAGCAAAAAAAAGGGGCATCCAATGCAGTGGACCAGTCAACGTGATGCATTGGGCGGTCGGGGCAGTATGCGCACCTATAATGGGCGTACCACGCAGAGTTCGGGCGCTCAAATCTTGCAAACGACATGTAACGAAATGGAGCCACCTGCTGTGGGTGTGCAAAATGGTCTAACCTAGAGGACTAGCAAAAAAAAAGGGGCATCCAACGCAGTGGACCAGTCAAAGTGATGCGTTGGGCAGTCGGGGCAGTATGCGCACCTATAATGGGCGTACCACGGAGAGTTCGGGCGCTCAAATCTTGCAAACGACATGGAACGAAATGGAGCCACCTGTTGTGGGTGTGTAAAATGGTCTAACCTAGAGGACTAGCAAAAAAAAGGGGGCATCCAACGCAGTGGACCAGTCAAAGTGATGCGTTGGGCAGTCGGGGCTGGGCAAACTAGGCAGAGTTCGGGCGCTCAAATCTTGCAAACGACATGGAACGAAATGGAGCCACTTGTTGTGGGTGTGGAAAATGGTATAATCTAGAGGACTAGTGAAAAAAATGGGGCGTCCAATGCAGTGGACCAGTCAAAGTGATGCGTTGGGCAGTCAGGGCAGTATGCGCACCTATAATGGGCGAACCAGGCAGAGTTCGGGCACTCAAATCTTGCAAACGACATGGAACGAAATAGAGCCACTTGTTGTGGGTGTGGAAAATGGTATAATTTAGAGGAATAGTGAAAAAAATGGGGCATCCAATGCAGTGGACCAGTCAAAGTGATATGTTGGGCAGTCAGGGCAGTATGCGCACCTATAATGGGCGTACCACGGAGAGTTCGGGCGCTCAAATCTTGCAAACGACATGGAACGAAATGGAGCCACCTGCTGTGGGTGTGTAAAATGGTCTAACCTAGAGGACGAGCAAAAAAAAAATAGGGGCATCCAATGCAGTGGACCAGTCAAAGTGATGCGTTGGGCAGTCGGGGCAGTATGCGCACCTATAATGGGCGAACTAGGCAGAGTTCGGGCGCTCAAATCTTGCAAACGACATGGAACGAAATGGAGCCACTTGTTGTGGGTGTGGAAAATGGTATAATCTAGAGGACTAGCGAAAAAATGGGGCATCCAACGCAGTGGACCAGTCAAAGTGATGCGTTGGGCAGTCGGGGCAGTATGCGCACCTATAATGGGCGAACCAGGCAGAGTTCGTGCGCTTAAATCTTGCAAACGACATGGAACGAAATGGAGCCACTTTTTGTGGGTGTGGAAAATGGTATAATCTAGAGGACTAGTGAAAAAAATGGGGCATCCAATGCAGTGGACCAGTCAAAGTGATGCGTTGGGCAGTCAGGGCAGTATGCGCACCTATAATGGGCGAACCAGGCAGAGTTCGGGCGCTCAAATCTTGCAAACGACACGGAACGAAATGGAGCCACGTGTTGTGGGTGTGGAAAATGGTATAATCTAGAGGACTAGCAAAAAAAAAGGGGCATCCAATGCAGTGGACCAGTCAAAGTGATGCGTTGGGCAGTCGGGGCAGTATGCGCACCTATAATGGGCGAACCAGGCAGAGTTCGGGCGCTCAAATCTTGCAAACGACATGGAACAAAATGGAGCCACTTGTTGTGGGTGTGGAAAATGGTATAATCTAGAGGACTAGTGAAAAAAATGGGGCATCCAATGCAGTGGACCAGTCAAAGTGATGCGTTGGGCAGTCGGGGCAGTATGCGCACCTATAATGGGTGAACCAGACAGAGTTCGGGCGCTCAAATCTTGCCAACGACATGGAACAAAATGGAGCCATTTGTTGTGGGTGTGGAAAATGGTATAATCTAGAAGACTAGCAAAAAAAAGGGGCATCCAATGCAGTGGACCAGTCAACGTGATGCGTTGGGCGGTCGGGGCAGTATGCGCACCTATAATGGGCGTACCACGCAGAGTTCGGGCGCTCAAATCTTGCAAACGACATGTAACGAAATGGAGCCACCTGCTGTGGGTGTGCAAAATGGTCTAACCTAGAGGACTAGCAAAAAAAAAGGGGCATCCAACGCAGTGGACCAGTCAAAGTGATGCGTTGGGCAGTCGGGGCAGTATGCGCACCTATAATGGGCGTACCACGGAGAGTTCGGGCGCTCAAATCTTGCAAACGACATGGAACGAAATGGAGCCACCTGTTGTGGGTGTGTAAAATGGTCTAACCTAGAGGACTAGCAAAAAAAAGGGGGCATCCAACGCAGTGGACCAGTCAAAGTGATGCGTTGGGCAGTCGGGGCTGGGCAAACTAGGCAGAGTTCGGGCGCTCAAATCTTGCAAACGACATGGAACGAAATGGAGCCACTTGTTGTGGGTGTGGAAAATGGTATAATCTAGAGGACTAGTGAAAAAAATGGGGCGTCCAATGCAGTGGACCAGTCAAAGTGATGCGTTGGGCAGTCAGGGCAGTATGCGCACCTATAATGGGCGAACCAGGCAGAGTTCGGGCACTCAAATCTTGCAAACGACATGGAACGAAATAGAGCCACTTGTTGTGGGTGTGGAAAATGGTATAATTTAGAGGAATAGTGAAAAAAATGGGGCATCCAATGCAGTGGACCAGTCAAAGTGATGCGTTGGGCAGTCAGGGCAGTATGCGCACCTATAATGGGCGAACCACGCAGAGTTCGGGCGCTCAAATCTTGCAAACGACATGGAACGAAATGGAGCCACTTGTTGTGGGTGTGGAAAATGGTATAATCTAGAGGACTAGCAAAAAAAAAGGGGCATCCAATGCAGTGGACCAGTCAAAGTGATGCGTTGGGCAGTCGGGGCAGTATGCCCACCTATAATGGGCGAACCAGGCAGAGTTCGGGCGCTCAAATCTTGCAAACGACATGGAACGAAATGGAGCCACTTGTTGTGGGTGTGGAAAATGGTATAATCTAGAGGACTAGTGAAAAAAATGGGGCATCCAATGCAGTGGACCAGTCAAAGTGATACGTTGGGCAGTCGGGGCAGTATGCGCACCTATAATGGGCGTACCACGGAGAGTTCGGGCGCTCAAATCTTGCAAACGACATGGAACGAAATGGAGCCACCTGCTGTGGGTGTGTAAAATGGTCTAACCTAGAGGACGAGCAAAAAAAAAGGGGCATCCAATGCAGTGGACCAGTCAAAGTGATGCGTTGGGCAGTCGGGGCAGTATGCGCACCTATAATGGGCGAACCAGGCAGAGTTCGGGCGCTCAAATCTTGCAAACGACATGGAACGAAATGGAGCCACTTGTTGTGGGTGTGGAAAATGGTATAATCTAGAGGACTAGCGAAAAAATGGGGCATCCAACGCAGTGGACCAGTCAAAGTGATGCGTTGGGCAGTCGGGGCAGTATGCGCACCTATAATGGGCGAACCAGGCAGAGTTCGGGCGCTCAAATCTTGCAAACGACATGGAACGAAATGGAGCCACTTTTTGTGGGTGTGGAAAATGGTATAATTTAGAGGACTAGTGAAAAAAATGGGGCATCCAATGCAGTGGACCAGTCAAAGTGATGCGTTGGGCAGTCAGGGCAGTATGCGCACCTATAATGGGCGAACCAGGCAGAGTTCGGGCGCTCAAATCTTGCAAACGACACGGAACGAAATGGAGCCACGTGTTGTGGGTGTGGAAAATGGTATAATCTAGAGGACTAGCAAAAAAAAAGGGGCATCCAATGCAGTGGACCAGTCAAAGTGATGCGTTGGGCAGTCGGGGCAGTATGCGCACCTATAATGGGCGAACCAGGCAGAGTTCGGGCGCTCAAATCTTGCAAACGACACGGAACGAAATGGAGCCACGTGTTGTGGGTGTGGAAAATGGTATAATCTAGAGGACTAGCAAAAAAAAAGGGGCATCCAATGCAGTGGACCAGTCAAAGTGATGCGTTGGGCAGTCGGGGCAGTATGCGCACCTATAATGGGCGAACCAGGCAGAGTTCGGGCGCTCAAATCTTGCAAACGACATGGAACGAAATGGAGCCACTTGTTGTGGGTGTGGAAAATGGTATAATCTAGAGGACTAGTGAAAAAAATGGGGCATCCAATGCAGTGGACCAGTCAAAGTGATGCGTTGGGCAGTCGGGGCAGTATGCGCACCTATAATGGGCGAACCAGGCAGAGTTCGGGCGCTCAAATCTTGCAAACGACATGGAACGAAATGGAGCCACTTGTTGTGGGTGTGGAAAATGGTATAATCTAGAGGACTAGTGAAAAAAATGGGGCATCCAATGCAGTGGACCAGTCAAAGTGATGCGTTGGGCAGTCGGGGCAGTATGCGCACCTATAATGGGCGAACCAGGCAGAGTTCGGGCGCTCAAATCTTGCAAACGACATGGAACGAAATGGAGCCACTTGTTGTGGGTGTGTAAAATGGTATAATCTAGAGGACTAGTGAAAAAAATGGGGCATCCAATGCAGTGGACCAGTCAAAGTGATGCGTTGGGCAGTCGGGGCAGTATGCGCACCTATAATGGGCGTACCACGGAGAGTTCGGGCGCTCAAATCTTGCAAACGACATGGAACGAAATGGAGCCACCTGCTGTGGGTGTGTAAAATGGTCTAACCTAGAGGACGAGCAAAAAAAAAGGGGCATCCAATGCAGTGGACCAGTCAAAGTGATGCGTTGGGCAGTCGGGGCAGTATGCGCACCTATAATGGGCGAACTAGGCAGAGTTCGGGCGCTCAAATCTTGCAAACGACATGGAACGAAATGGAGCCACTTGTTGTGGGTGTGGAAAATGGTATAATCTAGACGACTAGCGAATTAATGGGGCATCCAACGCAGTGGACCAGTCAAAGTGATGCGTTGGGCAGTCGGGGCAGTATGCGCACCTATAATGGGCGAACCAGGCAGAGTTCGGGCGCTCAAATCTTGCAAACGACATGGAACGAAATGGAGCCACTTGTTGTGGGTGTGGAAAATGGTATAATCTAGAGGACTAGTGAAAAAAAAGGGGCATCCAATGCAGTGGACCAGTCAAAGTGATGCGTTGGGCAGTCAGGGCAGTATGCGCACCTATAATGGGCGAACCAGGCAGAGTTCGGGCGCTCAAATCTTGCAAACGACACGGAACGAAATGGAGCCACTTGTTGTGGGTGTGGAAAATCGTATAATCTAGAGGACTAGCAAAAAAAAAGGGGCATCCAATGCAGTGGACCAGTCAAAGTGATGCGTTGGGCAGTCGGGGCAGTATGCGCGCCTATAATGGGCGAACCAGGCAGAGTTCGGGCGCTCAAATCTTGCAAACGACATGGAACGAAATAGAGCCACTTGTTGTGGGTGTGGAAAATGGTATAATCTAGAGGACTAGTGAAAAAAATGGGGCATCCAATACAGTGGACCAGTCAAAGTGATGCGTTGGGCAGTCGGGGCAGTATGCGCACCTATAATGGGCGTACCACGGAGAGTTCGGGCGCTCAAATCTTGCAAACGACATGGAACGAAATAGAGCCACTTGTTGTGGGTGTGGAAAATAGTATAAACTAGAGGACTAGGGAAAAAAATGGGGCATCCAATGCAGTGGACCAGTCAAAGTGATGCGTTGGGCAGTCGGGGCAGTATGCGCACCTATAATGGGCGTACCACGGAGAGTTCGGGCGCTCAAATCTTGCAAACGACATGGATCGAAATGGAGCCACCTGCTGTGGGTGTGTAAAATGGTCTAACCTAGAGGACGAGCAAAAAAAAAGGGGCATCCAATGCAGTGGACCAGTCAAAGTGATGCGTTGGGCAGTCGGGGCAGTATGCGCACCTATAATGGGCGAACTAGGCAGAGTTCGGGCGCTCAAATCTTGCAAACGACATGGAACGAAATGGAGCCACTTGTTGTGGGTGTGGAAAATGGTATAATCTAGACGACTAGCGAAAAAATGGGGCATCCAACGCAGTGGACCAGTCAAAGTGATGCGTTGGGCAGTCGGGGCAGTATGCGCACCTATAATGGGCGAACCAGGCAGAGTTCAGGCGCTCAAATCTTGCAAACGACATGGAACGAAATGGAGCCACTTGTTGTGGGTGTGGAAAATGGTATAATCTAGAGGACTAGCGAAAAAAAAGGGGCATCCAAGGCAGTGGACCAGTCAAAGTGATGCGTTGGGCAGTCAGGGCAGTATGCGCACCTATAATGGGCGAACCAGGCAGAGTTCGGGCGCTCAAATCTTGCAAACGACATGGAACAAAATGGAGCCACTTGTTGTGGGTGTGGAAAATGGTATAATCTAGAGGACTAGCGAAAAAAAAGGGGCATCCAATGCAGTGGACCAGTCAAAGTGATGCGTTGGGCAGTCAGGGCAGTATGCGCACCTATAATGGGCGAACCAGGCAGAGTTCGGGCGCTCAAATCTTGCAAACGACATGGAACAAAATAGAGCCACTTGTTGTGGGTGTGGAAAATGGTATAATCTAGAGGACTAGCGAAAAAAAAGGGGCATCCAACGCAGTGGACCAGTCAAAGTGATGCGTTGGGCAGTCAGGGCAGTATGCGCACCTATAATGGGCGAACCAGGCAGAGTTCGGGCGCTCAAATCTTGCAAACGACATGGAACAAAATAGAGCCACTTGTTGTGGGTGTGGAAAATGGTATAATCTAGAGGACTAGCGAAAAAAATGGGGCATCCAACGCTTGTTGTGGGTGTGGAAAATGGTATAATCTAGAGGACTAGCGAAAAAAATGGGGCATCCAACGCAGTGGACCAGTCAAAGTGATGCGTTGGGCAGTCAGGGCAGTATGCGCACCTATAATGGGCGAACCAGGCAGAGTTCGGGCGCTCAAATCTTGCAAACGACATGGAACAAAATAGAGCCACTTGTTGTGGGTGTGGAAAATGGTATAATCTAGAGGACTAGCGAAAAAAATGGGGCATCCAACGCAGTGGACCAGTCAAAGTGATGCGTTGGGCAGTCCGGGCAGTATGCGCACCTATAATGGGCGAACCAGGCAGAGTTCGGGCGCTCAAATCTTGCAAACGACATGGAACGAAATAGAGCCACTTGTTGTAGGTGTGGAAAATGGTATAATCTAGAGACGTTTCGGGGGGAGACGTTTGAGGGGCGCGCGCGGGTCCGGAGAAGGTGCGCGCGAGCGGGAGACGTTTCGAGGGGAGACGTTTTCGGGGCGCGCGCGGGTCGGGAGACGTTTCGGGGGGAGACGTTTGCGGGGCGCGCGCGGGTCCGGAGAAGGTGCGCGCGAGCGGGAGACGTTTCGAGGGGAGACGTTTGCGGGGCGCGCGCGGGACCGGAGAAGGTGCGCGCGAGCGGGAGACGTTTCGAGGGGAGACGTTTGCGGGGCGCGCGCGGGTCGGGAGACGTTTCGGGGGGAGACGTTTGCGGGGCGCGCGCGGGTCCGGAGAAGGTGCGCGCGAGCGGGAGACGTTTCGGGGGGAGACGTTTGCGGGGCGCGCGCGGGTCGGGAGACGTTTCGGGGGGAGACGTTTGCGGGGCGCGCGCGGGTCCGGAGAAGGTGCGCGCGAGCGGGAGACGTTTCGAGGGGAGACGTTTTCGGGGCGCGCGCGGGTCGGGAGACGTTTCGGGGGGAGACGTTTGCGGGGCGCGCGCGGGTCCGGAGAAGGTGCGCGCGAGCGGGAGACGTTTCGAGGGGAGACGTTTGCGGGGCGCGCGCGGGTCGGGAGACGTTTCGGGGGGAGACGTTTGAGGGGCGCGCGCGGGTCCGGAGAAGGTGCGCGCGAGCGGGAGACGTTTCGGGGGGAGACGTTTTCGGGGCGCGCGCGGGTCGGGAGACGTTTCGGGGGGAGACGTTTGCGGGGCGCGCGCGGGTCCGGAGAAGGAGCGCGCGAGCGGGAGACGTTTCGGGGGGAGACGTTTGCGGGGCGCGCGCGGGTCGGGAGACGTTTCGGGGGGAGACGTTTGCGGGGCGCGCGCGGGTCCGGAGAAGGAGCGCGCGAGCGGGAGACGTTTCGGGGGGAGACGTTTGCGGGGCGCGCGCGGGTCGGGAGACGTTTCGGGGGGAGACGTTTGCGGGGCGCGCGCGGGTCCGGAGAAGGAGCGCGCGAGCGGGAGACGTTTCGGGGGGAGACGTTTGCGGGGCGCGCGCGGGTCGGGAGACGTTTCGGGGGGAGACGTTTGCGGGGCGCGCGCGGGTCCGGAGAAGGAGCGCGCGAGCGGGAGACGTTTCGGGGGGAGACGTTTGCGGGGCGCGCGCGGGTCGGGAGACGTTTCGGGGGGAGACGTTTGCGGGGCGCGCGCGGGTCCGGAGAAGGAGCGCGCGAGCGGGAGACGTTTCGGGGGGAGACGTTTGCGGGGCGCGCGCGGGTCGGGAGACGTTTCGGGGGGAGACGTTTGCGGGGCGCGCGCGGGTCCGGAGAAGGAGCGCGCGAGCGGGAGACGTTTCGGGGGGAGACGTTTGCGGGGCGCGCGCGGGTCGGGAGACGTTTCGGGGGGAGACGTTTGCGGGGCGCGCGCGGGTCCGGAGAAGGAGCGCGCGAGCGGGAGACGTTTCGGGGGGAGACGTTTGCGGGGCGCGCGCGGGTCGGGAGACGTTTCGGGGGGAGACGTTTGCGGGGCGCGCGCGGGTCCGGAGAAGGAGCGCGCGAGCGGGAGACGTTTCGGGGGGAGACGTTTGCGGGGCGCGCGCGGGTCGGGAGACGTTTCGGGGGGAGACGTTTGCGGGGCGCGCGCGGGTCCGGAGAAGGAGCGCGCGAGCGGGAGACGTTTCGGGGGGAGACGTTTGCGGGGCGCGCGCGGGTCGGGAGACGTTTCGGGGGGAGACGTTTGCGGGGCGCGCGCGGGTCCGGAGAAGGAGCGCGCGAGCGGGAGACGTTTCGGGGGGAGACGTTTGCGGGGCGCGCGCGGGTCGGGAGACGTTTCGGGGGGAGACGTTTGCGGGGCGCGCGCGGGTCCGGAGAAGGAGCGCGCGAGCGGGAGACGTTTCGGGGGGAGACGTTTGCGGGGCGCGCGCGGGTCGGGAGACGTTTCGGGGGGAGACGTTTGCGGGGCGCGCGCGGGTCCGGAGAAGGAGCGCGCGAGCGGGAGACGTTTCGGGGGGAGACGTTTGCGGGGCGCGCGCGGGTCGGGAGACGTTTCGGGGGGAGACGTTTGCGGGGCGCGCGCGGGTCCGGAGAAGGAGCGCGCGAGCGGGAGACGTTTCGGGGGGAGACGTTTGCGGGGCGCGCGCGGGTCGGGAGACGTTTCGGGGGGAGACGTTTGCGGGGCGCGCGCGGGTCCGGAGAAGGAGCGCGCGAGCGGGAGACGTTTCGGGGGGAGACGTTTGCGGGGCGCGCGCGGGTCGGGAGACGTTTCGGGGGGAGACGTTTGCGGGGCGCGCGCGGGTCCGGAGAAGGAGCGCGCGAGCGGGAGACGTTTCGGGGGGAGACGTTTGCGGGGCGCGCGCGGGTCGGGAGACGTTTCGGGGGGAGACGTTTGCGGGGCGCGCGCGGGTCCGGAGAAGGAGCGCGCGAGCGGGAGACGTTTCGGGGGGAGACGTTTGCGGGGCGCGCGCGGGTCGGGAGACGTTTCGGGGGGAGACGTTTGCGGGGCGCGCGCGGGTCCGGAGAAGGAGCGCGCGAGCGGGAGACGTTTCGGGGGGAGACGTTTGCGGGGCGCGCGCGGGTCGGGAGACGTTTCGGGGGGAGACGTTTGCGGGGCGCGCGCGGGTCCGGAGAAGGAGCGCGCGAGCGGGAGACGTTTCGGGGGGAGACGTTTGCGGGGCGCGCGCGGGTCGGGAGACGTTTCGGGGGGAGACGTTTGCGGGGCGCGCGCGGGTCCGGAGAAGGAGCGCGCGAGCGGGAGACGTTTCGGGGGGAGACGTTTGCGGGGCGCGCGCGGGTCGGGAGACGTTTCGGGGGGAGACGTTTGCGGGGCGCGCGCGGGTCCGGAGAAGGAGCGCGCGAGCGGGAGACGTTTCGGGGGGAGACGTTTGCGGGGCGCGCGCGGGTCGGGAGACGTTTCGGGGGGAGACGTTTGCGGGGCGCGCGCGGGTCCGGAGAAGGAGCGCGCGAGCGGGAGACGTTTCGGGGGGAGACGTTTGCGGGGCGCGCGCGGGTCGGGAGACGTTTCGGGGGGAGACGTTTGCGGGGCGCGCGCGGGTCCGGAGAAGGAGCGCGCGAGCGGGAGACGTTTCGGGGGGAGACGTTTGCGGGGCGCGCGCGGGTCGGGAGACGTTTCGGGGGGAGACGTTTGCGGGGCGCGCGCGGGTCCGGAGAAGGAGCGCGCGAGCGGGAGACGTTTCGGGGGGAGACGTTTGCGGGGCGCGCGCGGGTCGGGAGACGTTTCGGGGGGAGACGTTTGCGGGGCGCGCGCGGGTCCGGAGAAGGAGCGCGCGAGCGGGAGACGTTTCGGGGGGAGACGTTTGCGGGGCGCGCGCGGGTCGGGAGACGTTTCGGGGGGAGACGTTTGCGGGGCGCGCGCGGGTCCGGAGAAGGAGCGCGCGAGCGGGAGACGTTTCGGGGGGAGACGTTTGCGGGGCGCGCGCGGGTCGGGAGACGTTTCGGGGGGAGACGTTTGCGGGGCGCGCGCGGGTCCGGAGAAGGAGCGCGCGAGCGGGAGACGTTTCGGGGGGAGACGTTTGCGGGGCGCGCGCGGGTCGGGAGACGTTTCGGGGGGAGACGTTTGCGGGGCGCGCGCGGGTCCGGAGAAGGAGCGCGCGAGCGGGAGACGTTTCGGGGGGAGACGTTTGCGGGGCGCGCGCGGGTCGGGAGACGTTTCGGGGGGAGACGTTTGCGGGGCGCGCGCGGGTCCGGAGAAGGAGCGCGCGAGCGGGAGACGTTTCGGGGGGAGACGTTTGCGGGGCGCGCGCGGGTCGGGAGACGTTTCGGGGGGAGACGTTTGCGGGGCGCGCGCGGGTCCGGAGAAGGAGCGCGCGAGCGGGAGACGTTTCGGGGGGAGACGTTTGCGGGGCGCGCGCGGGTCGGGAGACGTTTCGGGGGGAGACGTTTGCGGGGCGCGCGCGGGTCCGGAGAAGGAGCGCGCGAGCGGGAGACGTTTCGGGGGGAGACGTTTGCGGGGCGCGCGCGGGTCGGGAGACGTTTCGGGGGGAGACGTTTGCGGGGCGCGCGCGGGTCCGGAGAAGGAGCGCGCGAGCGGGAGACGTTTCGGGGGGAGACGTTTGCGGGGCGCGCGCGGGTCGGGAGACGTTTCGGGGGGAGACGTTTGCGGGGCGCGCGCGGGTCCGGAGAAGGAGCGCGCGAGCGGGAGACGTTTCGGGGGGAGACGTTTGCGGGGCGCGCGCGGGTCGGGAGACGTTTCGGGGGGAGACGTTTGCGGGGCGCGCGCGGGTCCGGAGAAGGAGCGCGCGAGCGGGAGACGTTTCGGGGGGAGACGTTTGCGGGGCGCGCGCGGGTCGGGAGACGTTTCGGGGGGAGACGTTTGCGGGGCGCGCGCGGGTCCGGAGAAGGAGCGCGCGAGCGGGAGACGTTTCGGGGGGAGACGTTTGCGGGGCGCGCGCGGGTCGGGAGACGTTTCGGGGGGAGACGTTTGCGGGGCGCGCGCGGGTCCGGAGAAGGAGCGCGCGAGCGGGAGACGTTTCGGGGGGAGACGTTTGCGGGGCGCGCGCGGGTCGGGAGACGTTTCGGGGGGAGACGTTTGCGGGGCGCGCGCGGGTCCGGAGAAGGAGCGCGCGAGCGGGAGACGTTTCGGGGGGAGACGTTTGCGGGGCGCGCGCGGGTCGGGAGACGTTTCGGGGGGAGACGTTTGCGGGGCGCGCGCGGGTCCGGAGAAGGAGCGCGCGAGCGGGAGACGTTTCGGGGGGAGACGTTTGCGGGGCGCGCGCGGGTCGGGAGACGTTTCGGGGGGAGACGTTTGCGGGGCGCGCGCGGGTCCGCAGAAGGAGCGCGCGAGCGGGAGACGTTTCGGGGGGAGACGTTTGCGGGGCGCGCGCGGGTCGGGAGACGTTTCGGGGGGAGACGTTTGCGGGGCGCGCGCGGGTCCGCAGAAGGAGCGCGCGAGCGGGAGACGTTTCGGGGGGAGACGTTTGCGGGGCGCGCGCGGGTCGGGAGACGTTTCGGGGGGAGACGTTTGCGGGGCGCGCGCGGGTCCGCAGAAGGAGCGCGCGAGCGGGAGACGTTTCGGGGGGAGACGTTTGCGGGGCGCGCGCGGGTCGGGAGACGTTTCGGGGGGAGACGTTTGCGGGGCGCGCGCGGGTCCGCAGAAGGAGCGCGCGAGCGGGAGACGTTTCGGGGGGAGACGTTTGCGGGGCGCGCGCGGGTCGGGAGACGTTTCGGGGGGAGACGTTTGCGGGGCGCGCGCGGGTCCGGAGAAGGAGCGCGCGAGCGGGAGACGTTTCGGGGGGAGACGTTTGCGGGGCGCGCGCGGGTCGGGAGACGTTTCGGGGGGAGACGTTTGCGGGGCGCGCGCGGGTCCGCAGAAGGAGCGCGCGAGCGGGAGACGTTTCGGGGGGAGACGTTTGCGGGGCGCGCGCGGGTCGGGAGACGTTTCGGGGGGAGACGTTTGCGGGGCGCGCGCGGGTCCGCAGAAGGAGCGCGCGAGCGGGAGACGTTTCGGGGGGAGACGTTTGCGGGGCGCGCGCGGGGTCGGGAGACGTTTCGGGGGGAGACGTTTGCGGGGCGCGCGCGGGTCCGCAGAAGGAGCGCGCGAGCGGGAGACGTTTCGGGGGGAGACGTTTGCGGGGCGCGCGCGGGTCGGGAGACGTTTCGGGGGGAGACGTTTGCGGGGCGCGCGCGGGGTCCGCAGAAGGAGCGCGCGAGCGGGAGACGTTTCGGGGGGAGACGTTTGCGGGGCGCGCGCGGGTCGGGAGACGTTTCGGGGGGAGACGTTTGCGGGGCGCGCGCGGGTCCGCAGAAGGAGCGCGCGAGCGGGAGACGTTTCGGGGGGAGACGTTTGCGGGGCGCGCGCGGGTCGGGAGACGTTTCGGGGGGAGACGTTTGCGGGGCGCGCGCGGGTCCGCAGAAGGAGCGCGCGAGCGGGAGACGTTTCGGGGGGAGACGTTTGCGGGGCGCGCGCGGGTCGGGAGACGTTTCGGGGGGAGACGTTTGCGGGGCGCGCGCGGGTCCGCAGAAGGAGCGCGCGAGCGGGAGACGTTTCGGGGGGAGACGTTTGCGGGGCGCGCGCGGGTCGGGAGACGTTTCGGGGGGAGACGTTTGCGGGGCGCGCGCGGGTCCGCAGAAGGAGCGCGCGAGCGGGAGACGTTTCGGGGGGAGACGTTTGCGGGGCGCGCGCGGGTCGGGAGACGTTTCGGGGGGAGACGTTTGCGGGGCGCGCGCGGGGTCCGCAGAAGGAGCGCGCGAGCGGGAGACGTTTCGGGGGGAGACGTTTGCGGGGCGCGCGCGGGTCGGGAGACGTTTCGGGGGGGAGACGTTTGCGGGGCGCGCGCGGGTCCGCAGAAGGAGCGCGCGAGCGGGAGACGTTTCGGGGGGAGACGTTTGCGGGGCGCGCGCGGGTCGGGAGACGTTTCGGGGGGAGACGTTTGCGGGGCGCGCGCGGGTCCGCAGAAGGAGCGCGCGAGCGGGAGACGTTTCGGGGGGAGACGTTTGCGGGGCGCGCGCGGGTCGGGAGACGTTTCGGGGGGAGACGTTTGCGGGGCGCGCGCGGGTCCGCAGAAGGAGCGCGCGAGCGGGAGACGTTTCGGGGGGAGACGTTTGCGGGGCGCGCGCGGGTCGGGAGACGTTTCGGGGGGAGACGTTTGCGGGGCGCGCGCGGGTCCGCAGAAGGAGCGCGCGAGCGGGAGACGTTTCGGGGGGAGACGTTTGCGGGGCGCGCGCGGGTCGGGAGACGTTTCGGGGGGAGACGTTTGCGGGGCGCGCGCGGGTCCGCAGAAGGAGCGCGCGAGCGGGAGACGTTTCGGGGGGAGACGTTTGCGGGGCGCGCGCGGGTCGGGAGACGTTTCGGGGGGAGACGTTTGCGGGGCGCGCGCGGGTCCGCAGAAGGAGCGCGCGAGCGGGAGACGTTTCGGGGGGAGACGTTTGCGGGGCGCGCGCGGGTCGGGAGACGTTTCGGGGGGAGACGTTTGCGGGGCGCGCGCGGGTCCGCAGAAGGAGCGCGCGAGCGGGAGACGTTTCGGGGGGAGACGTTTGCGGGGCGCGCGCGGGTCGGGAGACGTTTCGGGGGGAGACGTTTGCGGGGCGCGCGCGGGTCCGCAGAAGGAGCGCGCGAGCGGGAGACGTTTCGGGGGGAGACGTTTGCGGGGCGCGCGCGGGGTCGGGAGACGTTTCGGGGGGAGACGTTTGCGGGGCGCGCGCGGGTCCGCAGAAGGAGCGCGCGAGCGGGAGACGTTTCGGGGGGAGACGTTTGCGGGGCGCGCGCGGGTCGGGAGACGTTTCGGGGGGAGACGTTTGCGGGGCGCGCGCGGGTCCGCAGAAGGAGCGCGCGAGCGGGAGACGTTTCGGGGGGAGACGTTTGCGGGGCGCGCGCGGGTCGGGAGACGTTTCGGGGGGAGACGTTTGCGGGGCGCGCGCGGGTCCGCAGAAGGAGCGCGCGAGCGGGAGACGTTTCGGGGGGAGACGTTTGCGGGGCGCGCGCGGGTCGGGAGACGTTTCGGGGGGAGACGTTTGCGGGGCGCGCGCGGGTCCGCAGAAGGAGCGCGCGAGCGGGAGACGTTTCGGGGGGAGACGTTTGCGGGGCGCGCGCGGGTCGGGAGACGTTTCGGGGGGAGACGTTTGCGGGGCGCGCGCGGGTCCGCAGAAGGAGCGCGCGAGCGGGAGACGTTTCGGGGGGAGACGTTTGCGGGGCGCGCGCGGGTCGGGAGACGTTTCGGGGGGAGACGTTTGCGGGGCGCGCGCGGGTCCGCAGAAGGAGCGCGCGAGCGGGAGACGTTTCGGGGGGAGACGTTTGCGGGGCGCGCGCGGGTCGGGAGACGTTTCGGGGGGAGACGTTTGCGGGGCGCGCGCGGGTCCGCAGAAGGAGCGCGCGAGCGGGAGACGTTTCGGGGGGAGACGTTTGCGGGGCGCGCGCGGGTCGGGAGACGTTTCGGGGGGAGACGTTTGCGGGGCGCGCGCGGGTCCGCAGAAGGAGCGCGCGAGCGGGAGACGTTTCGGGGGGAGACGTTTGCGGGGCGCGCGCGGGTCGGGAGACGTTTCGGGGGGAGACGTTTGCGGGGCGCGCGCGGGTCCGCAGAAGGAGCGCGCGAGCGGGAGACGTTTCGGGGGGAGACGTTTGCGGGGCGCGCGCGGGTCGGGAGACGTTTCGGGGGGAGACGTTTGCGGGGCGCGCGCGGGTCCGCAGAAGGAGCGCGCGAGCGGGAGACGTTTCGGGGGGAGACGTTTGCGGGGCGCGCGCGGGTCGGGAGACGTTTCGGGGGGAGACGTTTGCGGGGCGCGCGCGGGTCCGCAGAAGGAGCGCGCGAGCGGGAGACGTTTCGGGGGGAGACGTTTGCGGGGCGCGCGCGGGTCGGGAGACGTTTCGGGGGGAGACGTTTGCGGGGCGCGCGCGGGTCCGCAGAAGGAGCGCGCGAGCGGGAGACGTTTCGGGGGGAGACGTTTGCGGGGCGCGCGCGGGTCGGGAGACGTTTCGGGGGGAGACGTTTGCGGGGCGCGCGCGGGTCCGCAGAAGGAGCGCGCGAGCGGGAGACGTTTCGGGGGGAGACGTTTGCGGGGCGCGCGCGGGTCGGGAGACGTTTCGGGGGGAGACGTTTGCGGGGCGCGCGCGGGTCCGCAGAAGGAGCGCGCGAGCGGGAGACGTTTCGGGGGGAGACGTTTGCGGGGCGCGCGCGGGTCGGGAGACGTTTCGGGGGGAGACGTTTGCGGGGCGCGCGCGGGTCCGCAGAAGGAGCGCGCGAGCGGGAGACGTTTCGGGGGGAGACGTTTGCGGGGCGCGCGCGGGTCGGGAGACGTTTCGGGGGGAGACGTTTGCGGGGCGCGCGCGGGTCCGCAGAAGGAGCGCGCGAGCGGGAGACGTTTCGGGGGGAGACGTTTGCGGGGCGCGCGCGGGTCGGGAGACGTTTCGGGGGGAGACGTTTGCGGGGCGCGCGCGGGTCCGCAGAAGGAGCGCGCGAGCGGGAGACGTTTCGGGGGGAGACGTTTGCGGGGCGCGCGCGGGTCGGGAGACGTTTCGGGGGGAGACGTTTGCGGGGCGCGCGCGGGTCCGCAGAAGGAGCGCGCGAGCGGGAGACGTTTCGGGGGGAGACGTTTGCGGGGCGCGCGCGGGTCGGGAGACGTTTCGGGGGGAGACGTTTGCGGGGCGCGCGCGGGTCCGCAGAAGGAGCGCGCGAGCGGGAGACGTTTCGGGGGGAGACGTTTGCGGGGCGCGCGCGGGTCGGGAGACGTTTCGGGGGGAGACGTTTGCGGGGCGCGCGCGGGTCCGCAGAAGGAGCGCGCGAGCGGGAGACGTTTCGGGGGGAGACGTTTGCGGGGCGCGCGCGGGTCGGGAGACGTTTCGGGGGGAGACGTTTGCGGGGCGCGCGCGGGTCCGCAGAAGGAGCGCGCGAGCGGGAGACGTTTCGGGGGGAGACGTTTGCGGGGCGCGCGCGGGTCGGGAGACGTTTCGGGGGGAGACGTTTGCGGGGCGCGCGCGGGTCCGCAGAAGGAGCGCGCGAGCGGGAGACGTTTCGGGGGGAGACGTTTGCGGGGCGCGCGCGGGTCGGGAGACGTTTCGGGGGGAGACGTTTGCGGGGCGCGCGCGGGTCCGCAGAAGGAGCGCGCGAGCGGGAGACGTTTCGGGGGGAGACGTTTGCGGGGCGCGCGCGGGTCGGGAGACGTTTCGGGGGGAGACGTTTGCGGGGCGCGCGCGGGTCCGCAGAAGGAGCGCGCGAGCGGGAGACGTTTCGGGGGGAGACGTTTGCGGGGCGCGCGCGGGTCGGGAGACGTTTCGGGGGGAGACGTTTGCGGGGCGCGCGCGGGTCCGCAGAAGGAGCGCGCGAGCGGGAGACGTTTCGGGGGGAGACGTTTGCGGGGCGCGCGCGGGTCGGGAGACGTTTCGGGGGGAGACGTTTGCGGGGCGCGCGCGGGTCCGCAGAAGGAGCGCGCGAGCGGGAGACGTTTCGGGGGGAGACGTTTGCGGGGCGCGCGCGGGTCGGGAGACGTTTCGGGGGGAGACGTTTGCGGGGCGCGCGCGGGTCCGCAGAAGGAGCGCGCGAGCGGGAGACGTTTCGGGGGGAGACGTTTGCGGGGCGCGCGCGGGTCGGGAGACGTTTCGGGGGGAGACGTTTGCGGGGCGCGCGCGGGTCCGCAGAAGGAGCGCGCGAGCGGGAGACGTTTCGGGGGGAGACGTTTGCGGGGCGCGCGCGGGTCGGGAGACGTTTCGGGGGGGAGACGTTTGCGGGGCGCGCGCGGGTCCGCAGAAGGAGCGCGCGAGCGGGAGACGTTTCGGGGGGAGACGTTTGCGGGGCGCGCGCGGGTCGGGAGACGTTTCGGGGGGAGACGTTTGCGGGGCGCGCGCGGGTCCGCAGAAGGAGCGCGCGAGCGGGAGACGTTTCGGGGGGAGACGTTTGCGGGGCGCGCGCGGGTCGGGAGACGTTTCGGGGGGAGACGTTTGCGGGGCGCGCGCGGGTCCGCAGAAGGAGCGCGCGAGCGGGAGACGTTTCGGGGGGAGACGTTTGCGGGGCGCGCGCGGGTCGGGAGACGTTTCGGGGGGAGACGTTTGCGGGGCGCGCGCGGGTCCGCAGAAGGAGCGCGCGAGCGGGAGACGTTTCGGGGGGAGACGTTTGCGGGGCGCGCGCGGGTCGGGAGACGTTTCGGGGGGAGACGTTTGCGGGGCGCGCGCGGGTCCGCAGAAGGAGCGCGCGAGCGGGAGACGTTTCGGGGGGAGACGTTTGCGGGGCGCGCGCGGGTCGGGAGACGTTTCGGGGGGAGACGTTTGCGGGGCGCGCGCGGGTCCGCAGAAGGAGCGCGCGAGCGGGAGACGTTTCGGGGGGAGACGTTTGCGGGGCGCGCGCGGGTCGGGAGACGTTTCGGGGGGAGACGTTTGCGGGGCGCGCGCGGGTCCGCAGAAGGAGCGCGCGAGCGGGAGACGTTTCGGGGGGAGACGTTTGCGGGGCGCGCGCGGGTCGGGAGACGTTTCGGGGGGAGACGTTTGCGGGGCGCGCGCGGGTCCGCAGAAGGAGCGCGCGAGCGGGAGACGTTTCGGGGGGAGACGTTTGCGGGGCGCGCGCGGGTCGGGAGACGTTTCGGGGGGAGACGTTTGCGGGGCGCGCGCGGGTCCGCAGAAGGAGCGCGCGAGCGGGAGACGTTTCGGGGGGAGACGTTTGCGGGGCGCGCGCGGGTCGGGAGACGTTTCGGGGGGAGACGTTTGCGGGGCGCGCGCGGGTCCGCAGAAGGAGCGCGCGAGCGGGAGACGTTTCGGGGGGAGACGTTTGCGGGGCGCGCGCGGGTCGGGAGACGTTTCGGGGGGAGACGTTTGCGGGGCGCGCGCGGGGTCCGCAGAAGGAGCGCGCGAGCGGGAGACGTTTCGGGGGGAGACGTTTGCGGGGCGCGCGCGGGTCGGGAGACGTTTCGGGGGGAGACGTTTGCGGGGCGCGCGCGGGTCCGCAGAAGGAGCGCGCGAGCGGGAGACGTTTCGGGGGGAGACGTTTGCGGGGCGCGCGCGGGTCGGGAGACGTTTCGGGGGGAGACGTTTGCGGGGCGCGCGCGGGTCCGCAGAAGGAGCGCGCGAGCGGGAGACGTTTCGGGGGGAGACGTTTGCGGGGCGCGCGCGGGTCGGGAGACGTTTCGGGGGGAGACGTTTGCGGGGCGCGCGCGGGTCCGCAGAAGGAGCGCGCGAGCGGGAGACGTTTCGGGGGGAGACGTTTGCGGGGCGCGCGCGGGTCGGGAGACGTTTCGGGGGGAGACGTTTGCGGGGCGCGCGCGGGTCCGCTGAAGGAGCGCGCGAGCGGGAGACGTTTCGGGGGGAGACGTTTGCGGGGCGCGCGCGGGTCGGGAGACGTTTCGGGGGGAGACGTTTGCGGGGCGCGCGCGGGTCCGCTGAAGGAGCGCGCGAGCGGGAGACGTTTCGGGGGGAGACGTTTGCGGGGCGCGCGCGGGTCGGGAGACGTTTCGGGGGGAGACGTTTGCGGGGCGCGCGCGGGTCCGCTGAAGGAGCGCGCGAGCGGGAGACGTTTCGGGGGGAGACGTTTGCGGGGCGCGCGCGGGTCGGGAGACGTTTCGGGGGGAGACGTTTGCGGGGCGCGCGCGGGTCCGGTGAAGGAGCGCGCGAGCGGGAGACGTTTCGGGGGGAGACGTTTGCGGGGCGCGCGCGGGTCGGGAGACGTTTCGGGGGGAGACGTTTGCGGGGCGCGCGCGGGTCCGGTGAAGGAGCGCGCGAGCGGGAGACGTTTCGGGGGGAGACGTTTGCGGGGCGCGCGCGGGTCGGGAGACGTTTCGGGGGGAGACGTTTGCGGGGCGCGCGCGGGTCCGGTGAAGGAGCGCGCGAGCGGGAGACGTTTCGGGGGGAGACGTTTGCGGGGCGCGCGCGGGTCGGGAGACGTTTCGGGGGGAGACGTTTGCGGGGCGCGCGCGGGTCCGGTGAAGGAGCGCGCGAGCGGGAGACGTTTCGGGGGGAGACGTTTGCGGGGCGCGCGCGGGTCGGGAGACGTTTCGGGGGGAGACGTTTGCGGGGCGCGCGCGGGTCCGGTGAAGGAGCGCGCGAGCGGGAGACGTTTCGGGGGGAGACGTTTGCGGGGCGCGCGCGGGGTCGGGAGACGTTTCGGGGGGAGACGTTTGCGGGGCGCGCGCGGGTCCGGAGAAGGAGCGCGCGAGCGGGAGACGTTTCGGGGGGAGACGTTTGCGGGGCGCGCGCGGGGTCGGGAGACGTTTCGGGGGGAGACGTTTGCGGGGCGCGAGCGGGTCCGGAGAAGGAGCGCGCGAGCGGGAGACGTTTCGGGGGGAGACGTTTGCGGGGCGCGCGAGGGTCGGGAGACGTTTCGGGGGGAGACGTTTGCGGGGCGCGCGCGGGTCCGGAGAAGGTGCGCGCGAGCGGGAGACGTTTCGGGGGGAGACGTTTGCGGGGCGCGCGCGGGTCGGGAGACGTTTCGGGGGGAGACGTTTGCGGGGCGCGCGCGGGTCCGGAGAAGGAGCGCGCGAGCGGGAGACGTTTCGGGGGGAGACGTTTGCGGGGCGCGCGAGGGTCGGGAGACGTTTCGGGGGGAGACGTTTGCGGGGCGCGCGCGGGTCCGGAGAAGGTGCGCGCGAGCGGGAGACGTTTCGGGGGGAGACGTTTTCGGGGCGCGCGCGGGTCGGGAGACGTTTCGGGGGGAGACGTTTGCGGGGCGCGCGCGGGTCCGGAGAAGGTGCGCGCGAGCGGGAGACGTTTCGGGGGGAGACGTTTGCGGGGCGCGCGCGGGTCGGGAGACGTTTCGGGGGCAGACGTTTGCGGGGCGCGCGCGGGTCCGGAGAAGGTGCGCGCGAGCGGGAGACGTTTCGGGGGTAGACGTTTGCGGGGCGCGCGCGGGTCGGGAGACGTTTCGGGGGCAGACGTTTGCGGGGCGCGTGCGGGTCGGGAGACGTTTCGGGGGCAGACGTTTGCGGGGCGCGCGCGGGTCCAGAGAAGGTGCGCGCGAGCGGGAGACGTTTCGGGGGGAGACGTTTGCGGGGCGCGCGCGTGTCGGGAGACGTTTCCGGGGCAGACGTTTGCGGGGCGCGCGCGGGTCCAGAGAAGGTGCGCGCGAGTGGGAGATGTTTCGGGGGGGGACGTTTGCGGGGCGCGCGCGGGTCGGGAGACGTTTCGGGGGGAGACGTTTGAGGGGCGCGCGCGGGTCGGGAGACGTTTGCGGAGGGAGACGTTTCGGAGGGAGACGTCTGCAGGGCGCGCGCGGGTCGGGAGACGTTTCGGGGGGAGACGTTTGCGGGGCGCGCACGGGTCCGGAGAAGGAGCGCACGAGCGGGAGACGTTTCAGGGGGAGACGTTTGCGGGGCGCGCTCGGGTCGAGAGACGTTTCGGGGGGAGACGTTTGCGGGGCGCGCGCGGGTCCGGAGAAGGTGCGCGCGAGCGGGAGACGTTTTTGGCGGAGACGTTTGCGGGGCGCGCGCGGGTCGAGAGACGTTTCGGGGGGAGACGTTTGCGGGGCGCGCGCGGGTCCGGAGAAGGTGCGCGCGAGCGGGAGACGTTTCGGGGGGAAACGTTTGCGGGGCGCGCGCGGGTCGCGAGACGTTTCGGGGGGAGACGTTTGCGGGGCGCGCGCGGGTCCGGAGAAGGTGCGCGCGAGCGGGAGACGTTTTGGGGGGAGACGTTTGCGAGGCACGCGCGGGTCGGGAGACGTTTGGGGGGGAGACGCTTGCAGGGGGCGCGCGTGTCCGGAGAAGGTGCGCGCGAGCGGGAGACGTTTCGAGGGGAGACGTTTGCTGGGCGTGCGCGGGTCGGGAGACGTTTTGGGGGGAGACGTTTGCGGGGCGCGAGCGGGTCCGGAGAAGGTGCGCGCGAGCGGGAGACGTTTTGGGGGGAGACGTTTGCCGGGCGCGTGAGGGTCGGGAGACGTTTCGGTGGGAGACGTTTGCGGGGCGCGCGCGGGTCCGGAGAAGAAGGTGCGCACGAGCGGGAGACGTTTCGGGGGGAGACGTTTGCGGGGCGCGCGCGGGTCGGGAGACGTTTGCGGAGGGAGACGTTTCGGAGGGAGACGTCTGCAGGGCGCGCGCGGGTCGGGAGACGTTTCGGGGGGGGACGTTTGCGGGGCGCGCACGGGTCCGGAGAAGGAGCGCACGAGCGGGAGACGTTTCGGGGGGAGATGTTTGCGGGGCGCGCGCGGGTCGGGAGACGTTTCGGGGTGAGACGTTTGCAGGGCGTGCGCGGGTCTGGAGAAGGTGCGCGCGAGCGGGAGACGTTTTGGGGGGAGACGTTTGCGGGGCGCACACGGGTCCGGAGAAGGAGCGCACGAGCGGGAGACGTTTCGGGGGGAGATGTTTGCGGGGCGCTCGCGAGTCGGGAGACGTTTCGGGGGGAGACGTTTGCGGGGCGCGCGCGGGTCCGGAGAAGGTGCGTGCGAACGGGAGACGTTTCGGGGGGAGACGTTTGCGGGGCGCGCGCGGTGTCGGGAGACGTTTCGGGGGGAGACGTTTGCGGGGCGCGCGCGTGTCCGGAGAAGGTGCGCGCGAACGCGAGACGTTTCGGGGGGAGACGTTTGCGGGGCGCGCGCGGGTCGGGAGACGTTTCGGGGGGAGACGTTTGCGGGGCGCGCGCGGGTCCAGAGAAGGTGCGCGCGAGTGGGAGACGTTTTGGGGGGAGACGTTTGCGGGGCGCTCGCGGGTCGGGAGACGTTTCGGGGGGAGACGTTTGCGGGGCGCGCGCGGGTCCGGAGAAGGTGCGCGCGAGAGGGAGACGTTTCGGGGGTAGACGTTTGCGGGGCGCGCGCGGGTCGGGAGACGTTTGCGGAGGGAGACGTTTCGGAGGGAGACGTTTCGGAGGGAGACGTTTGCGGGGCGCGCGCGGGTCGGGAGACGTTTCGGGGGGAGACGTTTGCGGAGCGCGCACGGGTCCGGAGAAGGAGCGCACGAGCGGGAGACGTTTCGGGGGGAGATGTTTGCGGGGCGCGCGCGGGTTGGAAGACGTTTCGGGGGGAGACGTTTGCGGGGTGCGCGCGGGTCCGGAGAAGGTGCGCGCGAGCGGGAGACGTTTTTGGGGGTGACGTTTGCGGGGCGCGCGCGGGTCGAGAGACGTTTCGGGGGGAGACGTTTGCGGGGCGCGCGCGGGACCGGAGAACGTGCGCGCGAGCGAGAGTCGTTTCGAGGGGAGACGTTTGCGGGGCGCGCGCGGGTCCGGAGAAGGTGCGCGCGAGAGGGAGACGTTTCGGGGGTAGACGTTTGCGGGGCGCGCGCGGGTCGGGAGACGTTTGCGGAGGGAGACGTTTCGGAGGGAGACGTTTGCGGGGCGCGCGAGGGTCGTGAGACGTTTCGGGGGGAGACGTTTGCGGGGCGCGCGCGGATTGGGAGACGTTTCGGGGGGAGACGTTTGCGGGGCGTGCGCGTGTCCGGAGAAGGTGCGCGCGAGCGCGAGACGTTCCGGGGGGAGACGTTTGCGGGGCGCGCGCGGGTCGGGAGACATTTCGGGGGGAGACGTTTGCGGGCCGCGCGCGGGTCGGGAGACGTTTCGGGGGGGACGTTTGCGGGGCGCGCGCGGGTCCGGAGAAGGTGCGCGCGAGAGGGAGACGTTTCGGGGGTAGACGTTTGCGGGGCGCGCGCGGGTCGGGAGATGTTTGCGGGGCGCGCGCGGGTCCGGAAAAGGTGCGTGCGAACGGGAGACGTTTCGGGGGAAGACGTTTGCGGGGCGCGCGCGGGTCGGGAGACGTTTCGGGGGGAGACGTTTGCGGGGCGTGCGCAGGTCCGGAGAAGGTGCGCGCGAGCGGGAGACGTTTTGGGGGGAGACGTTTGCTGGGCGCGCGCGGGTCGGGAGACGTTTCGGGGGGAGACGTTTGCGGGGCGCGCGCGGGTCCGGAAAAGGTGCGCACGAGCGGGAGACGTTTCAGGGGGAGACGTTTGCGGGGCACGCGCGTGTCGGGAGACCTTTTGGGGGGAGACGTTTGCGCGGCGCGCGTGGGTCGGGAGACGTTTCAGGGGGAGACGTTTGCGGGGCGCGCGCAGGTCCGGAGAAGGTGCGCACGAGCGGGAGACGTTTGCGGGGCGCGCGTGTGTCGGGAGACGTTTCGGGGGGAGACGTTTGCAGGGCGCGCGCGGGTCCGGAGAAGGTGCGCGCAAGCGGGAGACGTTTCGGGGGGAGACATTTTCGGGGCGCGCGCGGGTCGGGAGACGTTTCGGGGGGAGACGTTTGCGGGGCGCGCGTGGGACCGCAGAAGGTGCGCGCGAGCGGGAGACGTTTCGAGGGAAGACGTTTGCGGGGCGCGCGTGGGTCGGGAGACGTTTCGGGGGGAGACGTTTGCGGGGCGCGCGCGGGTCCGGAGAAGGAGCGCACGAGCGGGAGACATTTCGGGGGGAGATGTTTGCGGGGCGCGCGCGGGTGGGGAGACATTTCGGGGGGAGACATTTGCGGGGCGCGCGCGGGTCCAGAGAAGGTGCGCGCAAGCGGGAGACGTTTTGGGGGGAGACGTTTGCGGGGCGCGCGTGGGTCGAGAGACGTTTCGGAGGGAGACGTTTGCAGGGCGCGCGCGGGTCTGGAGAAGGTGCCCGCTGCGGAGATAACTACTACAACGGGAGCTAGACTACGGGCTAGGCACGGGTGCTCGTGTGATCTCTGCGTTCGTTGGTCCTTAGTCGTTTTCCTAGTGCGCACACTACTTGCTAGTTCACGGGGCAAATTGGCAAGAGTTTCACTAGAGAAAGTTGACAACAATGACACAATGAAGTTGGCATGGTAAGACTACATCAGAGCTAGCATTCAGGTCGGTCGACTGCCAGCGCAGCACGGTCGACCGCGTTCCAGCACGACTTGGTCGACCGCGCTCCAGCAGTGCAAAGTCGACGGCGTGCCGACACTGCAGGTTGACGGCGTGCCAGCGTTGCTCCCGCAGTACAGCATCGCACCAGCTTCGCAGGTGCTCGCAGATGATTGGCGTGCTGAGCCTCGTCACCTGCACAGCGCACACACCAAGTCAAGCTGGCGCTGATGACTGCATCTGATCAGCCACGTCGACCTCGGGATACCACCCCGAGGTCGGACTCGCCAACTTCGCCTGGGCGATCGTCGCAATCCTCCGCAGGACTTCGTCACCCAGGTAACCTGGTCGACCGGGCAACCACGTCGACCAGCTGCTCCTGTTTGTGCCCGTCGACCTCCCATGTCGACGACCACCCCAAGTCGACCTCACCAGGTCGACCACACCCCTGGTCGACCAGCTCCAGGTCGACGTCCCTCCTGGTCGACCAGCTCCACGTCGACCAGCACTCCTGGTCGACCAGCTTCATGACGGAGGGAGAATGGGGCGGGGTGATGGAAAGCAGGAGAATGGGGCGGGGTGATGGAAAGCAGGAGAATGGGGCGGGGTGATGGAAAGCGGGAGAATGGGGCCGGGTGATGGAAAGCGGGAGAATGGGGCGGGGTGATGGAAAGTGGGAGAATGGGGCGGGGTGATGGAAAGCGGGAGAACGGGGCGGGGTGATGGAAAGCTGGAGAATGGGGCGGGGTGATGGAAAGCGGGAGAATGGGGCGGGGTGATGGAAAGCGGGAGAATGGGGCGAGGTGATGGAAAGCGGGAGAATGGGGCGGGGTGATGGAAAGCGGGAGAATGGGGCCGGGTTATGGAAGGAGGGAGAATGGGGCGGGGTGATGGAAGGAGGGAGAATGGGGCGGGGTGATGGAAAGCGGGAGAATGGAGCGGGATGATAGAAAGCGGGAGAATGGGGCGGGGTGATGGAAAGCGGGAGAATGGGGCGGGGTGATGGAAAGTAGGAGAATAGGGCGGGGTGGTGGAAAGCGGGAGAATGGGGCGGGGTGATGGAAGGAGGGAGAATGGGGCGGGGTGATGGAAAGCGGAAGAATGGGGCGGGGTGATGGAAAGCGGGTGAATGGGGCGGGGTGGTGGAAGGAGGGAGAATGGGGCGGGGTGATGGAAAGCGGGAGAATGGGGCGGGGTGATGGAAAGCGGGAGAATGGGGCGGGGTCATGGAAAGCGGGAGAATGGGGCGGGGTGATGGAAACCGGGAGAATGGGGCGGGGTGATGGAAAGCGGGAGAATGGGGCGGGGTGAGAGGAAGCGGGAGAATGGGGCGGGGTGATGGAAGGCGGGAGTATGGGGCGGGAGCGGGAGAATGGGGCGGGGTGATGGAAAGCAGGAGAATGGGGCGGGGTGATGGAAAGCGGGAGAATGGGGCGGGGTGATGGAAAGCAGGAGAATGGGGCGGGGTGATGGAAGGAGGGAGAATGGGGCGGGGTGATGGAAGGAGGGAGAATGGGGCGGGGCGATTGAAAGCGGGAGAATGGGGCGGGGTGATGGAAAGCGGGAGAATTGGGCGGGGTGATGGAAAACGGGAGAATGGGGCGGGGTGATGGAAGGAGGGAGCATGGGGCGGGGTGATGGAAGGAGGGAGAATGGGGCGGGGTGATGGAAAGCGGGAGAATGGGGCGGGGTGATGGAAAGCGGGAGAATGGGGCGGGGTGATGGAAAGCGGGAGAATGGGGCGGGGTGATGGAAAGCGGGAGAATGGGGCGGGGTGATGGAAAGCGGTAGAATGGGGCGGGGTGATGGAAAGCGGGAGAATCGGGCGGGGTGATGGAAAGCGGGAGAATGGGGCGGGGTGATGGAAAGCGGGAGAATGGGGCGGGGTGATGGAAACCGGGAGAATGGGGCGGGGTGATGGAAAGCGGGAGAATGGGGCGGGGTGATGGAAACCGGGAGAATGGGGCGGGGTGATGGAAAGCGGGAGAATGGGGCGGGGTGAGAGAAAGCGGGAGAATGGGGCGGGGTGATGGAAAGCGGGAGTATGGGGCGGGAGCGGGAGAATGGGGCGGGGTGATGGAAAGCAGGAGAATGGGGCGGGGTGATGGAAAGCGGGAGAATGGGGCGGGGTGATGGAAAGCGGGAGAATGGGGCGGGGTGATGGAAGGAGGGAGAATGGGGCGGGGTGATGGAAGGAGGGAGAATGGGGCGGGGCGATTAAAAGCGGGAGAATGGGGCGGGGTGATGGAAAGCGGGAGAATTGGGCGGGGTGATGGAAAACGGGAGAATGGGGCGGGGTGAGGGAAGGAGGGAGCATGGGGCGGGGTGATGGAAGGAGGGAGAATGGGGCGGGTGATGGAAAGCGGGAGAATGGGGCGGGCTGATGGAAAGCGGGAGAATGGGGCGGGGTGATGGAAAGCGGGAGAATGGGGCAGGGTGATGGAAAGCGGGAGAATGGGGCGGGGTGATGGAAAGCGGGAGAATGGGGCGGGGTGATGGAAAGCGGGAGAATGGGGCGGGGTGATGGAAAGCGGGAGAATGGGGCGGGGTGATGGAAAGCGGGAGAATGGGGCGGGGTGATGGAAAGCAGGAGAATGGGGCGAGGTGATGGAAAGCGGGAGAATGGGGCGGGGTGATGGAAAGCGGTAGAATGGGGCGGGGTGATGGAAAGCGGAAGAATGGGGCGGGGTGATTGAAAGCGGGAGAATGGGGCGGGGTGATGGAAGGAGGGAGAATGGGGCGGGGTGATGGAAGGAGGGAGAATGGGGCGGGGTGATGGAAGGAGGGAGAATGGGGCGGGGTGATGGAAAGCGGGAGAATGGGGCGGGGTGATGGCAAGCGGGTGAATGGGGCGGGGTGATGGAAGGAGGGAGAATGGGGCGGGGTGATGGAAAGCGGGAGACTGGGGCGGGGTGATGGAAAGCGGGAGAATGGGGCGGGGTGATGGAAAGCGGGATAATGAGGCAGGGTGATGGAAAGCGGGAGAATGGGGCGGGTTGATGGAAAGCGGGAGAATGGGGCGGGGTGAGAGGAAGCGGGAGAATGGGGCGGGGTGATGGAAAGCGGGAGTATGGGGCGGGAGCGGTAGATTGGGGCGGGGTGATGGAAAGCGGGAGAATGTGGCGGGGTGATGGAAGGCGGGAGAATGGGGCGGGGTGATGGAAAGCGGGAGAATGGGGCAGGGTGATGGAAGCAGGAAGAATGGGGCGGGGTGATGGAAGGAGGGAGAATGGGGCGGGGTGATGGAAGGAGGGAGAATGGGGCGGGGTGATGGAAAGCGGGAGAATGGGGCGGGGTGATGGCTAGCGGGTGAATGGGGCGAGGTGATGGAAGGAGGGAGAATGGGGCGGGGTGATGGAAAGCGGGAGAATGGGGCGGGGTGATGGAAAGCGGGAGAATGGGGCGGGGTGGTGGAAAGCGGGAGAATGGGGCGGGGTGATTGAAAGCGGGAGAATGGGGCGGGGTGATGGAAAGCGGGAGAATGGGGCGGGGTGAGAGGAAGCGGGAGAATGGGGCGGGGTGATGGAAAGCGGGAGTATGGGGCGGGAGGGGGAGAATGGGGCGGGGTGATGGAAAGCGGGAGAATGGGGTGGGGTGATGGAAAGCGGGAGAATGGGGCGGGGTGATGGAAAGCGGGAGAATGGGGCGGGGTGATGGAAGGAGGGAGAATGGGGCGGGGTGATGGAAGGAGGGAGAATGGGGCGGGGCGATGGAAAGCGGGAGAATGGGGCAGGGTGATTGAAAGCGGGAGAATTGGGTGGGGTGATGGAAAGCGGGAGAATGGGGCGGGTGATGGAAAGCGGGAGAAAGGGGCGGGGTGATCGAAAGAGGGAGAATGGGGCGGGGTGATGGAAAGCGGGAGAATGGGGCGGGGTGATGGAAAGCGGGAGAATGGGGCGGGGTGATGGAAGGAGGGAGAATGGGGCGGGGTGATGGACGGAGGGAGAATGGGGCGGGGTGATGGAAAGCAGGAGAATGGGGCGGGGTGATGGAAAGCAGGAGAATGGGGCGGGGTGATGGAAAGCGGGAGAATGGGGCCGGGTGATGGAAAGCGGGAGAATGGGGCGGGGTGATGGAAAGTGGGAGAATGGGGCGGGGTGATGGAAAGCGGGAGAACGGGGCGGGGTGATGGAAAGCTGGAGAATGGGGCGGGGTGATGGAAAGCGGGAGAATGGGGCGAGGTGATGGAAAGCGGGAGAATGGGGCGAGGTGATGGAAAGCGGGAGAATGGGGCGGGGTGATGGAAAGCGGGAGAATGGGGCCGGGTTATGGAAGGAGGGAGAATGGGGCGGGGTGATGGAAGGAGGGAGAATGGGGCGGGGTGATGGAAAGCGGGAGAATGGAGCGGGATGATAGAAAGCGGGAGAATGGGGCGGGGTGATGGAAAGCGGGAGAATGGGGCGGGGTGATGGAAAGTAGGAGAATGGGGCGGGGTGGTGGAAAGCGGGAGAATGGGGCGGGGTGATGGAAAGCGGGAGAATGGGGCGGGGTGATGGAAGGAGGGAGAATGGGGCGGGGTGATGGAAAGCGGAAGAATGGGGCGGGGTGATGGAAAGCGGGTGAATGGGGCGGGGTGGTGGAAGGAGGGAGAATGGGGCGGGGTGATGGAAAGCGGGAGAATGGGGCGGGGTCATGGAAAGCGGGAGAATGGGGCGGGGTGATGGAAACCGGGAGAATGGGGCGGGGTGATGGAAAGCGGGAGAATGGGGCGGGGTGAGAGGAAGCGGGAGAATGGGGCGGGGTGATGGAAGGCGGGAGTATGGGGCGGGAGCGGGAGAATGGGGCGGGGTGATGGAAAGCAGGAGAATGGGGCGGGGTGATGGAAAGCGGGAGAATGGGGCGGGGTGATGGAAAGCAGGAGAATGGGGCGGGGTGATGGAAGGAGGGAGAATGGGGCGGGGTGATGGAAGGAGGGAGAATGGGGCGAGGCGATTGAAAGCGGGAGAATGGGGCGGGGTGATGGAAAGCGGGAGAATTGGGCGGGGTGATGGAAAACGGGAGAATGGGGCGGGGTGATGGAAGGAGGGAGCATGGGGCGGGGTGATGGAAGGAGGGAGAATGGGGCGGGGTGATGGAAAGCGGGAGAATGGGGCGGGGTGATGGAAAGCGGGAGAATGGGGCGGGGTGATGGAAAGCGGGAGAATGGGGCGGGGTGATGGAAAGCGGGAGAATGGGGCGGGCTGATGGAAAGCGGTAGAATGGGGCGGGGTGATGGAAAGCGGGAGAATCGGGCGGGGTGATGGAAAGCGGGAGAATGGGGCGGGGTGATGGAAAGCGGGAGAATGGGGCGGGGTGATGGAAAGCGGGAGAATGGGGCGGGGTCATGGAAAGCGGGAGAATTGGGCGGGGTGATGGAAACCGGGAGAATGGGGCGGGGTGATGGAAAGCGGGAGAATGGGGCGGGGTGAGAGGAAGCGGGAGAATGGGGCGGGGTGATGGAAGGCGGGAGTATGGGGCGGGAGCGGGAGAATGGGGCGGGGTGATGGAAAGCAGGAGAATGGGGCGGGGTGATGGAAAGCGGGAGAATGGGGCGGGGTGATGGAAAGCAGGAGAATGGGGCGGGGTGATGGAAGGAGGGAGAATGGGGCGGGGTGATGGAAGGAGGGAGAATGGGGCGAGGCGATTGAAAGCGGGAGAATGGGGCGGGGTGATGGAAAGCGGGAGAATTGGGCGGGGTGATGGAAAACGGGAGAATGGGGCGGGGTGATGGAAGGAGGGAGCATGGGGCGGGGTGATGGAAGGAGGGAGAATGGGGCGGGGTGATGGAAAGCGGGAGAATGGGGCGGGGTGATGGAAAGCGGGAGAATGGGGCGGGGTGATGGAAAGCGGGAGAATGGGGCGGGGTGATGGAAAGCGGGAGAATGGGGCGGGCTGATGGAAAGCGGTAGAATGGGGCGGGGTGATGGAAAGCGGGAGAATCGGGCGGGGTGATGGAAAGCGGGAGAATGGGGCGGGGTGATGGAAAGCGGGAGAATGGGGCGGGGTGATGGAAAGCGGGAGAATGGGGCGGGGTGATGGAATGCGGGAGAATGGGGCAGGGTGATGGAAAGCGGGAGAATGGGGCGGGGTGATGGAAAGCGGGAGAATGGGACGGGGTGATGGAAAGCGGGAGAATGGGGCGAGGTGATGGATAGCGGGAGAATGGGGCGGGGTGATGGAAAGCGGTAGAATGGGGCGGGGTGATGGAAAGCGGAAGAATGGGGCGGGGTGATGGAAAGCGGGAGAATGGGGCGGGGTGATGGAAGGAGGGAGAATGGGGCGGGGTGATGGAAGGAGGGAGAATGGGGCGGGGTGATGGAAGGAGGGAGAATGGGGCAGGGTGATGGAAAGCGGGAGAATGGGGCGGGGTGATGGCAAGCGGGTGAATGGGGCGGGGTGATGGAAGTAGGGAGAATGGGGCGGGGTGATGGAAAGCGGGAGAATGGGGCGGGGTGATGGAAAGCGGGAGAATGGGGCGGGGTGATGGAAAGCGGGAGAATGAGGCAGGGTGATGGAAAGCGGGAGAATGGGGCGGGTTGATGGAAAGCGGGAGAATGGGGCGGGGTGAGAGGAAGCGGGAGAATGGGGCGGGGTGATGGAAAGCGGGAGTATGGGGCGGGAGCGGTAGAATGGGGCGGAGTGATGGAAAGCGGGAGAATGTGGCGGGGTGATGGAAGGCGGGAAAATGGGGCGGGGTGATGGAAAGCGGGAGAATGGGGCGGGGTGATGGAAGGAGGAAGAATGGGGCGCGGTGATGGAAGGAGGGAGAATGGGGCGGGGTGATGGAAGGAGGGAGAATGGGGCGGGGTGATGGAAAGCGGGAGAATGGGGCGGGGTGATGGCAAGCGGGTGAATGGGGCGAGGTGATGGAAGGAGGGAGAATGGGGCGGGGTGATGGAAAGCGGGAGAATGGGGTGGGGTGATGGAAAGCGGGAGAATGGGGCGGGGTGGTGGAAAGCGGGAGAATGGGGCGGGGTGATGGAAAGCGGGAGAATGGGGCTGGGTGATGGAAAGCGGGAGAATGGGGCGGGGTGAGAGGAAGCGGGAGAATGGGGCGGGGTGATGGAAAGCAGGAGTATGGGGCGGGAGGGGGAGAATGGGGCGGGGTGATGGAAAGCGGGAGAATGGGGCGGGGTGATGGAAAGCGGGAGAATGGGGCGGGGTGATGGAAAGCGGGAGAATGGGGCGGGGTGATGGAAGGAGGGAGAATGGGGCGGGGTGATGGAAGGAGGGAGAATGGGGCGGGGCGATGGAAAGCGGGAGAATGGGGCAGGGTGATTGAAAGCGGGAGAATTGGGTGGGGTGATGGAAAGCGGGAGAATGGGGCGGGGTGATGGAAGGAGGGAGAATGGGGCGGGGTGATGGAAAGCGGGAGAATGGGGCAGGGTGATGGAAAACGGGAGAATGGGGCGGGGTGATGGAATGCGGGAGAATGGGGCGGGGTGATGGAAAGCGGGAGAATGGGGCGGGGTGATGGAAATCGGGATTATGGGGCAGGGTGATGGAAAGCGGGAGAATGGGGCGGGGTGATGGAAAGCGGGAGAATGGGGCGGGGTGATGGAAAGCGGGAGAATGGGGCGGGGTGATGGAAAGCGGGAGAATGGGGCGGGGTGATGGAAAGAGGGAGAATGGGGCGGGGTGATGGAAAGAGGGAGAATGGGGCGGGGAGATGGAAAGCGGGAGAATGGGGCGGGGTGATGGAAAGAGAGAGAATGGGGCGGGGTGATGGAAAGCGGGAGAATGGGGCGGGGTGATGGAAAGAGGGAGAATGGGGCGGGTTGATGGAAAGAGGGAGAATGGGGCGGGGTGATGGAAAGCGGGAGAATGGGGCAGGGTGATGGAACTCTGGCCGGTAAGGCCAGTATGCACGCTTGTGTGTAGGTACAAGGCGGAACTGGAACTCTGAAATCTCCCAAATTATGTGGATCGGAAAGGTTATAACCTAGTAATGTTGAAGTAGAAGGCCTAATCTAGTGGACTAGCAAGAATATGGTAGTAACTGCATCTCTACAAACATGAGTAATGCGCTGGTCAGTTTGGTTGCTATGCGCACTTGTAGTGCAGGTAACATGTACGACTGGAATGTCTATATCTACCAAATTACATAGATCTGATAGGTTAAAATATGGTAGGGGGGTGGGGAATGGTATAATTTAAGGTAAATGGGAATACATATGGTATTTGCTGTATTTGTACAGAAAGAATAATGCGTCGGCCGGTAAGGCCAGTATGCACACTTGTGTGTAGGTACAAGGCGGAGCTGGAACTCTGAAATCTCCTAAATTATGTGGATCAGAAAGGCTATAACCTAGTGTTGTTGAAGTGGAAGGCCTAATCTAGTGGACTGGCAAGAATATGGCACTAACTACATCTCTACAAACATACGTAATGCGCGTCAGTCTGGTCGCTATGCGCGCCTGTAGTGCAGGTACCATGTACGACTGAAATGTCTTTATCTGCCAAATTATATATTTCTTGTAGGTTAAAACATGGTAGGGGGGTGGGGAATGGTATCATTTAAAGGAAATGGGAATACATATGGTATTCACTGTATTTGTACGGAGACAATAATGCGTCGGCTGGTAAGGTCAGTATGCACGCTTATGTGTAGGTACAAGGCGGAACTGGAACTCTGAAATCTCCCAAATTATGTGGATCGGAAAGGTTAAAACCTAGTGTTGTTGAAGTAGAAGGCCTAATCTAGTGGACTGGCAAGAATATGGTAGTAACTGCATCTCTACAAACATGAGTAATGCGCTGATCAGTTTGGTCGCTATGCGTGCCTGTAGTGCAGGTACCATGTACGACTGAAATGTCTTTATCTGCCAAATTACATAGATCCGATAGGATAAAACATGGTAGGGGGGTGAGGAATGGTATCTTTTAAAGGAAATGGGAATACATATGGTATTCACTGTGTTTGTACGGAGAGAATAATGCGTCGGCTGGTAAGGTCATTATGCACGCTTGTGTGTAGGTACAAGGCGGAACTGGAACTCTCAAATCTCTCAAAATATGTGGATCGGAAAGGTTATAACTTAGTGTTGTTGAAGTAGAAGGTCTTATCGAGTGGAAGAATATGGTAGTAACTGCATCTCTACAAACATGAGTAATGCGCTGGTCAGTTTGGTCGCTATGCGCGCCTGTAGTGCAGGTACCATGTACGACTGAAATGTCTTTATCTGCCAAATTACATAGATCCGATAGGTTAAAACATGGTAAAGGGGTGGGGAATGGTATCATTTAAAGGAAATGGGAATACATATGGTATTCACTGTATTTGTACGGAGAGAATAATGCGTCGGCTGGTAAGGTCAGTATGCACGCTTGTGTGTAGGTACAAGGCGGAACTGGAACTCTGAAATCTCCCAAATTATGTGGATCGGAAAGGTTAAAACCTAGTGTTGTTGAAGTAGAAGGCCTAATCTAGTGGACTGGTAAGAATATGGTAGTAACTGCATCTCTACAAACATGAGTAATGCGCTGGTCAGTTTGGTTGCTATGCGCGCCTGTAGTGCAGGTACCATGTACGGCTGGAATGTCTAGATCTGCCAAAGTACATAGATCTGATAGGTTAAAACATGGTAGGGGGTGCGGAGATAACTACTACAACGGGAGCTAGACTACGGGCTAGGCACGGGTGCTCGAGTGATCTCTGCGTTCGTTGGTCCTTAGTCGTTTTCCTAGTACACACACTGCTTGCTAGTTCACGGGGCAAGTTGGCAAGAGTTTCAATAGAGAAAGTCGACAACAATGGTACAATGAAGTTGGAATGGCAAGACTACATCAGAGCTAGCATTCAGGTTGGTCAACTGCCAGCACAGCATGGTCGACCGCGTTCCAGCACGACTTGGTCGACCGCCCTCCAGCAGTGCAAAGTCGACGGCGTGCCAACGCTACAGGTCGACGGCGTGCCAGCGTAGTTCCCGCAGTACAGCATCGCACCAGCTTCGCAGGTGCTCGCAGATGATTGGCATGCTGAGCCTTGTCACCTGCACAACGCACACACCAAGTCAACCTAGCACTGACGACTGCATCTGATCAGCCACGTCGACCTCGGGATACCACCACCGAGGTCGGGCTCGCCAACTTCGCCTGGGCGACCGTCGCACTCCTCCGCAGAACCTTGTCACCCTGGTAACCTGGTCGACCAGGCAACCGCGTCGACCAGCTGCTCCCGTACGTGCCCGTCGACCTCCCAAGTCGACGACCACCTTCAGTCGACCTCACCAGGTCGACCACGCCCCTGGTCGACCAGCTCCATGTCGACCAGCGCAGTTGTCAGCCGACCACCCAAGTCGGCTACCCGAAGTCGGCGTCACCAAGTTGATGCCCTACTACTCGACGCCCAGCTGCTCGGCGTCCTGAGTCGTGGTCGACGTCGGCCCCTCCTCCGTCGACCACCAGGTCAGGTCGACCACCAGGTCGACATCATGCCTGGTCGACCAACCACCAAGTCGACCAGCAGGCCTGGTCGACCAACTACCAGGTCGACCAGCAATCCTGTCAGCCGACCACCCAAGTCGGCTGCCCCAAGTTGGCGTCACCAAGTCGACGCCCTCTGCAGGTCGACTTCCCAGGTCGACCTCCCCGTGCAGTGGCCCCCGTGCAGGTCGACCTCCTCGTCAACCAGCTCGCTCACTACTGCAGGTCGGCTGCTCCCCTTTCACCCGACCACGAAGTCAGCTCCGCCCAAGCGAGGACGGGGCCAGCACACAACTCCCGTTGACAGGGGGGTGGGGAATGGTATAATATGAGAAATTTTTTATAACAAAAAATTTTACAGATTGTAATTCGATTTGAAGAGGGGTTTGCTGTAAAGGAGACAAACTCCTTTACCTTTCGGCAGGTCCACAGGACTTGCCACCTAGTCTCATTTTCTGTTTTCACTTCTCTAGTTTACCACCAGCACAGACTAAACCCTTCCTATGCCCAGATCTGGGCGTAGGAATACCTTGTTAGAAGATGTGCTTTCAGTCCGTTTCACTAGCATGGCTAGCGGACTTGTCTCGGCTGCAAGCGGAAGGCCTCCCGCTGCTCGAATGAATTTACGGAGCAGTGGGCGTGGTGGCTCTCCCCAACGTGATGCAGATCGGGACTCCTCTTCACGCAGGGAGCGTTCTCGTTCCCCCCGTGGCGGAAATTCTGCGGCTGTTACTGCTCTCGATTTATTGAATCGAGCACGACAGGCTCCACCTCAGAGTCCCAGAGCTGCCGGAGGCGATCGCGACGGATCTTCTCGTCGGGATTTTCCTCCCGGTTTTCATGGCGAACGGCGTGTGGACGGGTTACGTGGCGGAGAATCGAACCTGCCTAATGGAAATGCCGCGCCCAATCCCGTGGAGGCTCCAGCGCCAGCAGGAAACGCCACACGCGCGGCACCCTCTGGTCCTGCGCGTGGCGATCGTAATGATCGCGATCCTCCGCGTGTGGACCGAAATGATGACGGTCCTGCGCGTGGGGACGGCGACCGCGATCTCAGTCAAGATCGCAATCTTGACCGTCGCGTGGATCGCCAGAATCAGGACCCACTGCGAGAATCTCGACGCCTGGATCCTGCACCTCGCCCGGCGAATCCGCGCGCGTCTCAGGATTTTCGAATCTCGCCTTCGGCAGCAGCGGATTTCGCCGAGATTCTCGCGCGTCTTGACCCAGCGGCCCAGCGAAACTTTCAGCGAATCTTCACGGGAACTGCTGCTGGCGAACGCGTTGCAGCACGCTCCACTGCATCTACAGCGCCCCGATCGGCAGAACATTATTCTGCTCGTCATACAAACAACGATGTTCCTGCTGTCACCAACAACGACGCCATTCATCATGTCATCGGCCTCCTCGCAGCTCTTCAGCGCGGAACTAATGGTGATCCTGCACCGCCCCCGGAACCTGCTCGTCCTGCAGCAGCGGCAACACCACAGTCCCGCCTTCCCCCTCCGGCCAACAAACTCGATGGCGACGACGCGCATGACAACACACTCATCGAAAATTCGGATGAAGGTAATGCCGCCCGACCCAAATCCGGTTCTGCCACCTTCAGCCTCGCTCCCATTCCCCCCGCTCGTCCCCAATTGCGTTCATCCCTAGTGAAGAGTGATGGTGTTCGCACGCAACTTTTTAGTTTCGAGCGTATCCAAGCTATTGCACGTCACGCCATTTCTGTTTTGCCTTCCAATGGTAGCGAGCAAGCCGCCGACTACCTGCAGCAAATAGTTGAAGAAGCGGAGGAAAATTTTCATTTTCTCTTCACCGCCGACCAACGCGGTTTCGAGGTGGCCAATATGGCCTTGAAGATTAAATACGGCGAAGTGGTAGAGGATAAAAATGTAAAGGCCGCCACTCAAATTGTGGCAGCTAACAAAAAGAGGCCCAACCGCCCCACTCATGCGAGCTCCCGTGGCGACCCTCCTCCTCGTAGTCGAGGCCAAGGAGAGCGTCATTGGAACACGTGGCGTCGTGATGGTGACGGACGTTGTTTTTACTGTCGCGAACCCGGCCATGGGATTGCGGATTGCCCCCAGCGTGGCCAAGGAGCCAATAGGCCCGCTAAGATTGTTTAAAGATTGTGTATTCCTATGGGATTTTTAATTGATACGATCTACAAGCAACTCTATTCTCGTTCTTAGAGATTGCCTCCGTGCACATACCAATATGACTCTAGAAAAAAAAAAAAAAAAAAAAAAAACCAGAGAGAGAGCATTTTGGCATGATAGGCCCGACATAATGCCAGATGGTTACACAAAATGCCTGAAAAAAAAAAAAAAAAAAAAAGAGAGAGAGAGAGAGAGAGAGAAGAAGAAGAAAGAGAGAAACAAGGGGAAAAGAAGAGAGCGAGAGACGAAAGAAAGAGCGAGAAGGGGGGAGAAAGAAAAATAAGATACGCATGGGTATCCGTGGCACTAACCCCTTCTCTGTACGTGCCTCCCCGCACCCCTAACCAGAGCTGGACGACCTCGTCGCTCTCGACACTTCACCCACCGACACGCCTTTCATGCGTGGTCGTCTTGGTGCACGGGGCGACTGGTGGGCCGCCTGGTGTGATAGGCGCTTCATCATGTCGGTAATCAAATCCGGCTATCGCCTTCCGTGGGCTTCCTCAGAACCAACTTCCCACTATGCGGCTAATCACTCCGGCGCCATTCAATATGCCGCATTCGCGGCTGAGGCAGTGGCCGAGCTACTAGCGACAGGAGCGGCCCGAATGGTGCCTCAGTCGGAATCCCTCCCATGCGTTAGCCCGTTGAACGTGGTCGTCCAACCTTCTAAGAAGAGGCTCATATTGGACCTTCGACATGTCAATACATTCCTGTCCGTTCCTCGGTTTCGCTATGAGGGCCTTAACCGGGTGGCCGACCTGGTGCATCAAGATGATTGGCTATTTACCATCGATCTGAAGGCCGGATACCATCATGTAGACATCCATCCGGCCTACTGGCGGTTC